TCAGGCTCCATACCCCACGACCTCCCATATGCCGGCATACCCCACGAATGATGGCAGTGCCTACTTTAACAACAGGCCCGGTCGGTCAGACTCACAAGGCTCCTCCTTGGCGTCGCCATATATGCAACCTCTTGGGTCTCCCGGGATAACGAGACACCCAACAAATGCCCCTCTGCCGAATCGACCTATGGCTGACCTGCCCGAGGAAGCAACTCCATGGGATGCCAATGGCCGGCCACTCCCTCAACCTCATTACCGCGACGATGAACCCTATGACCAGGAGAGTATCATGCAAGAGATCGAAGCTGAACTGGGAAGGGGAGATGGCCGATCAGAACCTCGGCCACTCCCTTCGCCACTCCCTTCCAATGGCCAGATGACTCTTGCCCACCACCCATCAAGCAGGACGGCGGCACAACCCGTGTACGAGGACGGGAATGATTCTGACGACCTAGAGGGAGCTGCTGGCGTCCTGGCAATGCAGCAGGCTGAGCTAGAAGAAAGACGTTTCAGCGGAAGTACCTTTATATATAATGATGCGCCCACCATTGCACACCCCCCACAGTCCAACCCACTTCCCCCGCCACCCGAAGAGCAAGATAATAGCAGCGATAGTGACTTTGGGGGATTCATGGACCTTGGGGGCCTTAGTGGTGGTTACGCAGGCACACTTACGTATGGCAACGATATTGGAAACTACACAGGCTCTTCTTTCTCCCCAGAATCATCACGACCTTTACCAACGCCAGGCCAAGCCCGACCTGCGCAGGTGGACTATGGAGACACAGGTGGCCTACAGGCGCCTCGTGCCAAGAGGCTCAGTTTCGACGAAGGCGACGAGAGAGTCTCCATTCATTCACACCTCAGTGGAACTGATTCCCCGTCAAAGGATGACTACGAAGACCTATTCTATCACCCTGGCCTGTCGAGCCGACCGCTACCATCCCTCCCTCCGGCTCCGGGGTCTGACACCAGTTCCATGACTTCCGGGCAACTTACCAGTCGCACCGGCTACCATTCCTATTCTCGGAGTTCAGACTCAAGAAGTCAGCAGCTTGATAATCCAGAGAACTTTTATTCCAACGCCAATAACTCCACTTATTCTCATCAGCAGCCCGAGCGATCGGTTTCCCTGGCGGGATACAGTCACACCCCGCAGGTGCAAGCGCCCGCAAGATCAAGGACTGATGCGGCTGAAGAGCGCAGGAAGATGGCTAGACAACAGCAGTCGACACCAGGACTGCCAATTACTGAGTACGATGCTCCTCCCGCGGGAGGCTTTGACAGCATTACCCTGCCCAGTGGTGGTAGAAAGAAGAAGTTTATCCCATCGAAACTTACGCCGAGTGATTTCAAACGATGCCCGGAACCCTGGGCGCTTAGTGGCATTGAGGCTTGGGTCCGTGAGATGGCTGAAGGAGAGCTTGACCTGAGAGAGAAGCTTGTCGAGGAGGCGCTGACCATGTTGTTTACCTTCAAAGTTCCGACCATGAACGTCGCTGATGCTGAAGCTCTCAGCACCGCTGTACTGGCCCAGATGCTCCAGTATGGCGTCCTTTTGCCAGACGAAGAATGGATCAAATTTGGAACTGGTCACATCTCGGGAGTTTTCTTCCAGTTGGCTGGGTCTGGATGCTACGCGCCCAAGTTGCATGATATCGAGATCAGTGGTCGTTGCTATTCCAGCCATTGTATGCGTACTCTTAAAAAGGTGGACCTTGAAGGCTTGACGGAGAAACCAGCGGATGACTGGCACGTCTTTTATAAGCTGACCAAGGAAGACATTGAATCTCGCTCAAAGAAGGAGGTGGAACGCCAAAACATCTTGCACGAGATTGTCACCGGTGAGGAGTCTTATATCAAGCAACTGAACATCTTCCGTATGCTGTACAGAGACGACTTGCGCACTAGGCAACCGCCTATTCTTAACCCCGACAAGCGCGACAAGTTTCTCACAGCAGTCTTTGGAAAGCTTGATACAGTATTACGCATCAACAAAGATCATCTTCTGGCGCAGCTCAAGTATCGTCAGCAGGAGCAGGGCCCCTGGATCGTCGGCTTCAGCGACATCTTCCGAGAGTGGATCCGAAAGGCCAAGACTGACTACATTGAGTATGCGACCCAGTACCCTCGTGCTGCGTACATGATACGCAGGGAGGCTGGCAGAAATCTCTTGTTCAAGAAGTTCTTGGAAGACAAGCAGAAAGATAAGGCGGGTCTGAAGCAAGATTGGACTCACTTCCTTATCACTCCGCTGCAACGTCTCCAGCGTTATATCCTCCTACTCGAAACAGTGGAACGGAAAATGGCGGGAGAGAGCGAAGAGATGACGATTCTCAAGAGAGCTATTGAAGAGATTCGTGTGGTCACTTTGGAATGTGATGCCAAGGTCGCCGAGACGAACAAGAGAGTAGAAATGACGGAGCTTGACAGGATGCTCATATTACGGCCGGGCTTCCAGGCTTTACTGAACCTTGACCACCTCGGCAGAGTTCTTATAATACAGGGTGACTTGCAGCGGTTGAGCTCAAGCGGCATCAAATGGGTGGACACTCATGCCTTGTTGTTTGACCACTATCTCATTTTGGCCAAGGTGGTGGTCTCTAGAGATGGCAGAGGAGAGAAGAAGTATGATGTTTCCAGAGAAGTAAGTTTCCCCATCCTTTTCTCCCTTTTTTACAATTTTGAAGACAAAGATGCTAATCGTAGTAGCCTATACCAATGCCCCTTTTATTCCTGGAAAGCATGAACGACGATCCCGTTATCAAACAGAAGGGAATCACAGCTCCTCTGGCCAGGACAACAGCCGTCGGACCAGCTGCTGCATCCACTACTCAGCTCAGCTCCCGGCCAGGCCTCGAGCACACTGCGACAAACTCTACAACTGGCTCAGCAACGACGCTCACGCCAACACAATCCAATGATGTTGAGGGCAACATTCTTTACCCCTTCAAGATTAAGCATCTAGGTCATGAAGTGTACACGCTGTATGCGTCATCCGCTCGGGATCGGGCAGACTGGTGCTCAAAGATTGTTGAGGCGAAAACGATACACGCCAAAGGATTGTTCTCTCAGAATGCCGAGCCTTTCAGGCTTCGTGTTCTTGCCGACGCTGCATTCCACTACGACATCAGCTCTCCTCATGCAAGATCTGCCGGCGTTCCGGTTGTTAAGGGCACACCGCTCGACCGGGCAATCGAAGAATTAGAAGGCGTTCTTGGTTCTGCACAGGGTGTTGCCCCCGTATGCCGTGCCCAAGTGAATTGCGCTACGGCCTTTTCCGCGTTTGGCAAGGCTGTCATTGCAATAGGAACTGACTATGGCATCTACATCGCCGACCCTTCCAATCCGCGAGGATGGACTCGAGTAAGTTTATCTGAAATTTTGTTTGTTTTGCGAGATAAATATCTAACAAGGAGAAACAGACGGTCCAAATTGCCAGGGTCACGCAAATCGCCGTCTTGGAAGAGTTCAATGTCTGTGTTGTGATTGCAGACAAGTCATTAATCTCTTATCCGTTGGATGTAATCGCCCCGGTTTCAGAATACGCTCCGCCGGTCAATGATAACCCCAGACGAGCTCCCCAGAGACTGGCAAAGGATGTAACGTACTTTGCAACGGCAAGGATGAAGGACCGGACACTACTCTTCCACAAACGAAAGGAAGGCTTGCACACCATGTTCAAGGTCCTCGAACCTATCCTTCAGAAGTCTACGGAAAAGAAGTCGCGATTTTTCGGTAGGGGCAAGGGTGCTTCCGGAAGTGCCGAATCATTCCGTGACTTTGACGAGTTCTTCTTCCCTACGGAGTGTTTCTCCTTGAGTCTTTTCCAGACCTACGTTGCCGTGTCCACAGCCAAGGGTATTGAGATGTTGACGCTCGACAAGAAGCAACCCATCTCCATTCCGGATCTCAAAGCACCGGCAATTGCTAATATTGCCAATCGTATCCGAGAACAGCATCCTTTGGGCATGTTCCGGCTGAACGAGAACGAATTCATCCTAACGTATGAAGATTGCGCCGTGTATGTTGATAAACACGGTGAGGTCAGCAGGACTCTCATCATGGAATACACAGGCAAGCAGAAGAAGGCCAAGGGCGCAACCATGTACGGACAGTACCTCATCCTGTACAACGATGACTACGTCGAGGTTCGAAATGCCGACAATGGGCGGTTGCGGCAGATCATTGCTGGACGGGACGTGCGACTGATCGATTTCGGCGTCCGCGGCCCGACTGGAGACAACGCGGCCCAGGCGTCGCAAGTGTATGGACACAATGGCGGGCTGTCGACGGCGGGTGACGTTTCTAAGGGAACCGTCAAGATCGCCATGTCGCACCCGGAGCTGTCAGGAAGACAAATCATTTTGGAGATGCTTCTCAATGACGGACATGTCGAGTAATGAAATAGACGCGCGGTTAATGGACATGCAGAGGGACGCTGTACGAATGGAGCATGTCGACGCCGCTGTCTTTAGCCTATGAACCAGCATGGTTGGTTTCATGGTTGCATTATTTGCTTTGTTCTTCGGGTTTCTTTCGGTGTTGTTCCCCCCCTTTGGCAGGATGCGGCTGACAGAGGGGGTAAAGAGGGCTGCCCACCATCCGAAAGATGGGATGTTGGCCGGAACCTCTCTTTTGAATGCAAATTTCTTCTTCTTTTTTTTATCCATTCCCCATGAGAGTCCTGAAACATTAGATTCACGACCCCTCTCTTTTTTTGTTCATTTTTTTCTTTTTCTCCTCTTGCGTGGCGCTGGTAGGAAGACGGTTTACGGAGGAAGAAGCAACTCTGTTGAGAGAGAAGGACGAGGCTTCTGGATGGTCATTTTCCTTTTCTTCATTCCCTTTCTTTGATAAAAAAATTGTGAGAGATCTGTCTAGGTAATAGTTTGCTAGGAGAGTGTGTCTTATACCACTATACATCTTTGGAATATATGAGCAGTTTGTTATGATTCTTACATCTCAAGGATGATTTACGAGACTCTCGCGGCTTTGCACATGGAGATTACTGTCGGATAGTAAACGTATAATTGCTTCTAGCGCCCTACGCAGCTATCCAATCAAAAAAAAAGTTGTCAAGAACAAAGTAAATCCCGATGTTGCCAATCGGTGAGAATACAATAAGAAAAGCCCTCCTCTAGGCGATAAAGCACGTCCAAGCAACCCTATAACATTGCCCCAGAAAATAGCGCAGATAAACTGCTCTGCTCCCCTCTTGTTTTTGTTTTGTTGGTCAGTAGTCTTTTGCGTGATGGTGGCTATCAAGCTCAAGACTTGTTGTTCATGATATCGCGAAATGATGTATTAGGTATACCATGTTTTCCCCTCCACTCAGTATCTTTAGTTATTTATCTCTCAGGTCAAAGAATACCTCCATCTTTAAGCCTTGGCCTTGGCCTCAACAACAGCCTCGTCACCATCTTTCTTGGACATGTTGTGCATGGTAATACGAGTGATTTGTGCGATTCCGACCAGTGCGAGGAAGAAGTTGACAGCAGCAAGCCTATAACAGTAAAGGATTCGCGTCAGTGATTTATTCCGCAACATATCCCCTCTTCGGAGGCGAGTATCGGAGATTAGGGAGAAGCTTACAGCATGTTCTTGGGGGTGATGACGAAGCACCATCGCGTCCAGATGAGACCGGTGCACATCAGGGAGAAGTTTTGCGCAAAGGACAGCTTCTCGGCGGGACGAGCCAGATCGGAGATGCCTGCCAGGACGAGAGCCCACTGTTTGAGTGCTTCAAGTCAGCAAGAGTTGAAACCACATTTCGTCCGCGGACATAAGAGCTGTTTGGCGGTTTATATATAGCACGTCCAACAACACAACATAAGTAGTGTAAATGGAAACCAAATAAAGGTGCAAAGAAAGAAAAAGAGAGTGCCTTGTTCTCCTCACCTTCATGACGGGGGCCCAAAAGTGCACCGTCTTGATGCCGACCTCGCTCTCCCACGCCTTCTTGAACCAGCTGGCCGACTGCTGCTGCTCCCCCGACGCCGTGCTCTGCCACCGCTTGCCCTGCTGGCGGAACTGGTTGCGGAACATTTGCTGCGCCTGGCTGTTGAAGAAGGGCGAGGGGCCGGCGGCGCCCTGGCGGAAGAGCGGCCGGGCGGCGCGCAAGATGTTGCTCGTTGGGGCCATGGCTCTGTTGATGTCGTCTCCCCGAGTCAGCTTTCCCTTTTCCTTTATATATATATATATATTTTTTCCGTGCGAGTCGCGCAATTTCTTTGTTTCGGAATTGAAGGAGAAGCAGGATGTAGCAAAACTCACGTTAGATGTGTCGGTGGGACAATGAGAACGAGGGAATCCTGACGTGTGCCCTTTTTTGGAGGTTCGCTGAGCCAGAAGATAAAAGAGAGAAGGGCGCTCCCAGCAGCTCCGAACAATGGCGACCGGGATTCACCCGGCCATAGCGACACCGGACTTTACTTTATGCACCCGAAATGCATCATGTCAGAATTGTGCATTAGCAAAAGTTATGCAACAATCCGTGCACAAAGTGCTGCTCCACCCAAATTAACGACCAACCAAAGCAGCAGTATCTCTCATCAACTATCTTGAACGCAGCCTTCCCAAGACATTCATTCGCCTTTTTTCCCAAGCGAGCTTCCGCCTTCACCTCAATTGACGCCCCCGAAAATGTCCGCCAAGTTCGCCTTCGCCAAGTCCCTCAAGGAGGTGCGCTTCCTCTTCTGCCAGACCTCCGAGCAGAGCGCCGCCGTCCGGTACGGAAAACCCTCCAAAACTCCCTCCCAAGCCAAACAAGCCAATCACCGACAGCTATGACGGTTGCAAGCGATCTGTTTGGGTCAGATCTACAATCTAGCTGTTCAATTGCTGCTAGATAGCGAGCCAGTTCAGCCATCCACCAAGCTTCACAACCAAGAGCGCATTTCACACACATACCCTCATGGTGGGGGAAGAGAATAGAGCAGAGAAAGCATTATACATACAGATCATGCAAAAGACTGACAGGAAGCTTTCACATCTAGATCTTTCCTCACAAAACAATACCCCGCCATCAAGCAGGCCAACCCAAACACCCCGATCCTCCTCCGCGAAGCCGCCGGCACAATCCCCAAAGTCTACGCCCGATTCGGTATGTTCGTTGCAATGCCTTTCCCCCTTCCGACGCCAGAAAGACGGTTCGACTTGGAAGTAAATGGGAAGGGTAAACGATAGCTAGGTCGCTTACTAACGATGGACGTTGCTCTAGATTTCGGCACTGAAAAGTCACAGTCTCTGGAAGGCCTGTCAGACAAGCAGATCGAGGATACGGTTTCAGGGCTGGTAACAAAGGCATAAATGTGACAAACACTGTATATAAAAAAGGAGGAGGCTTGTCTGCATAGCTTTGAATGCGTTCGAGGAAGAGAGAAACAAAGATATCAAATGGCGTAACGGTATATGCGCTACGGTGTATGAGTCCAAATGCATAGATGAAAACTATAGCAAATATCTCGAGGCGATTCGCCAAGGAAAACGTGTCTATCAACAGTACATCTCACAATATGTGCAGTACAAGAGAACGCCACCAATGGAGTCAAACAGGAACTTTGAACAGAGTTATGATTAAAGCTGAAAATCGGAATGTATATGCATCTAAAGCTAAACAAGGCTGCCTGATGCCGATAACATAACAAAAGCGACACATGATATATATGATTATATGCTAAGGAGCATGCAAGAAAACCCCCCAAAAAAAACACAAACGCGGACCTTATTATTAACAAAAAAAAAAGTCCTTTCGTATCCTCCACACACATATCATTACTGAAGAGTAGCAGATCGCACTCGAGACACGGGCAATGCTGGCCAATCTTGTGTATCGAGGTCAACATTCTTCTTTCCACCGTCTTTTGAAGGCGATGTGGTATTCGAATTTGTCAATTTGACGTTTTCACGCTCCCGTTGATGCTTGTCTTTGGACCAGTCACGCTGGACTTCATTACGGCTGTTCTCCTGCTGCTTGGTCGAACTCTCAAAGTTGTCACCTCCTTTGGACCCTTGGTTCAGCTTTTCTCTCAGCTGTGGCGCCTTTGACGGTGAGTTGTTCGCTGTCGCTGGCCTTCGTATAATCTTAAACTTGGAGGGGGGCTGCATTTTCTCGACAGAAGCCTCTGCCAGTCCCGCGCGAGAAGAGGCTGCTCTAGGAGGATACGGAACATTCTCAGTGCTTGCTCCTGTCACAGTGGATTTGCGAGGAGACACGAAAGCTGTTGCCAGTGGATTCAGGCGACTTTTCTTGGAAGCATCAGCTTCACCTGCGGTTGCAATTGCACCCTTGATGTCGGTTGTTGGCGTTGGGCCACCAGCAGCATCTCTTGATTGGGTCGATGCGAGCCTGCTGATTGTCGATGCTTCAAATGTCTTTGAAGTAATAGAGGGGTACTTGTTCTTCCGCTTTTTCGGAATCTTCAAAGAGCCGCCCGCATTGCTCCTGAAATCTAGTCGACCACGCGGCAGAGTATCGTAAGGATACTGAGTTCTATTGCCTGTCATTGTCTGCTCCCTAGGCTCCCCAAACGGTTCAATTGATGATTCATCAATCTTTTCAGGAAGATGAAGAGAATGAGAAGCGGGTCCGGTGGTTGCAGAGCTTGGCATGAGCGTATCATGATCCATTTGAAACTTCTCTTTCACAGGCACAGCAGATGTCCCCAAGTCGGACGGCGACAACTCCTGGCTGCCAGTTTCCTTCTGCAAGTCAGCCTGCAGTGCTGAAGCTAGGCGTTTCTTGGCCTTTTTGTTCTTGTTCCATTTCGTTTTCGGTTTGCTTTGGTTATTTGCCTCAGTGCTTGCTTTGCCATTATCAGTGGTCAACACCATCCCGGGAGTCGTTGTACCCTCAACTGACTGCTCTGACGCCCGATGGAATGACTCGGATGGTTCTAGTTTAGAAGAAGAAGAAGAATCTTCATTCCTGAGAGCAATTCTCGACTGCTCATCAGGCGCGTAGAGCCTTTGTCCAAGGCTAGACCCTTCATCTCTCACAAGCTTCTGAGCTACATCTTCAGCTCCCTCGGCCGATTCCTCAACTCTTTCCATTGATCCCTCAGGTGTGATTTTGTCCACCCCCAAAAGATCTGATGACCCGAGTTGAGCCCGCTCATCTACACATGATACAGGAGCTCTCGTATTCTTCATCACATCACTCGAGACCTCCTTCTGAGTTTGTTGCATAGGCGGTTGGCCGGATGTGACAGAAGTTCCTAATTTCCTGGATTTCCGTGGATCCAATGGCATAGGAATCCTATTCCAGGCCTGTTTTCGCTCCTTGATTTCATCTTCTGTGAAGATGTTCTCGGAGATTTTGGTTGTTGGTGACAAATCTGCGCCCCCCTTTGGGACAGAATTCTGTGCCTTCTTGAAGTCACTTGAGACTGGGGTTTGATCTTTCTCTAATTTTGCATCATTCTGCACAACTGCTTCAGTGGTGCTAGTGTTTGGGCACGGAATGTCCACCTGTTCAGATGCTTGAGTCTCTTTAGCTTTTCCTTGCGGGCTCTTCGGCGTGCAACTGCCATCTCCTGTATCTGAATGAGGCGCAGTGGATGAGCTCGCTTTGCACTCTTCTGTTGTAGCGCCAGCCAGCTTCATAGGACTGCTTGGTAACGCAACCCGGGCCTTCTTATGCAAAGGGCGCCTACCATCTTCGCCTCCCGGAATAGTTTCACTGCATTTACTGTCTTCTCCGCCGGTATATGCTTGAGACAGTGGCTTTGATTGAGAAGTCATCTCTTTTTTCTTGCCTTTTTTTGTTTGCACGGAGAGCGCAGCTCGAGTGGACGCTTGTTCAGACTCGTGGGGCTTTTCATCTTTCACAGAGGTTGCTTGCCCGCGGCTGTCAGTAGACTGAGTCTCCCCTAACTGGTCGGTACCTGGTATACTGGCGGCCTCGACAGGCAATGTAGTCTCCTGAGCCACGCTTCGATCTGATCTTATTTCACAGGGCAAGGTTTCAGTGCTCTTGGAGCTTGGCGAATTTGCAATCTGACCTCGTTCTGGTGTATGCGTAGGTGTTGCCGACAACGAAGGACCAGGACCTGTTGTATGAGCGTAACCAACGTTCATGCTAGATGGGGTTGATGCGTCCCACATTGGTTGCTGGTGAGCAATTGGTAATGGTGGAAGCGTCCTTGCTTGTTGGGGTTGATGATTATTCATCCATTTGGATCGATGAGCAGGCCGAATGGTTATTCTGATGCCTTTCTCTGGAAGCTTGACTGAACCAAATGCGAGAGCTTGCGGCACGGATGACTCCTTTACGAATCTATCGCAGAATTAGTATAAAATATCAGGGAGCAGAGATGATAAAGATACTTACCGCACGATAAACACATCTTTGTTTTGAGATGGAGCTGGGTAAACCTCCTCCACTTTCCCAAACCTATTGCCGATTCCAAATTTGAGGGTCGTTTGGACATCTATATTCGGCGCGAAGGCGTCATGGTAAACCTTCACCCATATACTCCTATTGCGTTCATTGCAGCCACTGCAAGCGCAAGGAGTATACTCCCCACTATTCGGGCCTCCAGGATTGAGGCACCAGGAGGCCTGTCGAGTTCTCTCCGGTTGAGCGCATCGTCGCCACGATTTATTCAAGTAGGGTTCGCGCGAAGTAGGATGGTGGTCCGAATGAGCCTGCTGTCCCGAGTTCCATCCATGAGTCTTTTGGGCAAACGATCCCCGGCGCTGTCCTACTTGATGATAGGGTTGGCTGTCATTTCTGTATTCAATATGCATCGAGGATGTTGGAGAGCCATGCAGAAATTCAGACCGAGTTGATTGGGCAAGCTGAATGCTTTCATCAGACCCATTGGTAGCGGCGTTACGCAACTTGGAAGCTGCCATAGCACCAGAATGCGTCCCATTAGTGAGCTGTTGGAGAGACATAACTTGAGAGCTTCCAGAAATGTCTCTATATGGGGCAGGATGAGGCACCGGCCTATTCGCAGTAGAGTAGAAGTGGCCGTTCTGATGCGGGAACCCATCTTTCGAAGAAAGGTGCGGCATGAAAGCTTTCTCCGGCTGCATATAGAAAGGAGTCGGCTCCGGCGACGCTCTCATGGGGGCCGCGAGATTTTGTCTCGTGAAGTCGTCTGGCGAGTTGCCAATGGGGTGTCTTTGATCTTGCGCTAACCTGTGAAAACTTTGGGAAGGTTGCCATTGTCTTGTCATGATTGTAGGGTCGATAAAAGGCCCATCTGTGCCCTGAGCTTGACCTTTTCCAAGTCTCGCGGCTTCATGTGGTGGAAATTGGCCTTCGCTTTCCGGAGGGATTCTACTTTCCAGTTGTCGAATGTTTCCTGAGTACTAATCAGGTCGTTCGATAGCTCGAGGTTGGTAGAGATGGTTTCTAGCGGATGCGAAGATTACTCTCTTGTCAAACGGTTGGTCGATAGATGCATCTTGCTTATTATGCTCCAGCTCGGCGACTTCTCTAATGAAGTTGTTCACCGCGCTCTCTTCGCCGCCTTTCTCAGACGGCAAGGGGTGGCCTGAGGAGATCTTGTTGGAAGCTGATAAAGATGCTGACTCAGAACTTCGTCTCGCTTCTGTGACAGAAGCATCTCCGTTACCAGTAGCGGCCAAAATCGTGTTGTGCTTTGAATCTAGACCGGGGCCTGCAGCCGCAGGCGATGACGTCTCTGGCATCGATGCAATCCTTCGAGGATCACTCTGACTCTGAAACTCACTAGCTTTCTTCTTCTCTACTTTGTTGATGGAGCTTTGCAGTTGTTTCGAGAGATTGCTACCGTTGACGATAACCACACCAGATTTGGTAGATTGTCGCGATGGTACAGCGGCCTCGGCGGACTTCTGCAAAGCTTGAAGAGCTTGGGTAGGTCCGCCAGGCGATTCGGTGAGTGGAAAACAATGCTGTGGGAGAAAGTAGTGCTTCCCATTTTCCACAATGCAGGGAGCTGGCTCGTTCGGCGCCGAAGAACCGCGATGAGGCTCAGACAGGGGAGGAGGCGGCAAGCCATTGTTATCAAAAACTCGCTGTCCGGCTGGGAACAAGTTAGCTCTTGAGGTCACTTGGATTCTATTGTTGAGGAACTTACTAAGCCAGTTTTCAATGCTGTTTGTCCGACACGCCGATATCAAGTCTACGGGCTCTTCAACTTGCTTTGTCTCCTTGTTGGAGAGAAGAAAGACGCGACGACCTTTCAACGCGCTTGCAATCAGTGGCACCACGTCATCGTGTATCAATCCCAGAGAGTCGTGATCTTGATCATCAAGTATGCGAAAGATGGGGCCGTGGGATTCCTGCCACTTGGTCAACTTCTCCTGGTTTTGCTCTCGCTTCAGCCACTCATCCGCCCAATGGCCGATATGAGCAGCTACTTCTCGCCTCACATCTACAGATATGAGCTTATTTTCATCCCAGAGCGTGTTGATGACGTTCCAAAGATTCATGCAGCCATTGTGATAGATGTCATGAGCGTCGAAGAATGTCCACAAGTCGTCCCAGCAGTGTGGCTGTTGCATGTACTTCAGCTCGTTCCAAAAGACCTTGCGGAGCGAGTTACAAATGGCTTGGATTTCGTCTTTAGACCACAGGTGAATGCGACGCTGGGGTAGAATATGATCCAATTTTCGAAACGGTCGGCTTCCATTCGAGGTTGAAATGAAAGCCTTTGCTTTGGCTGGTACATTGGTATAGAATCCAACAGGAAGATTGTCCTCCAAATAGGTCTGGGCTACTCCCTGAGATGACACGCCATGCATCATTTTGTAGGTGACGGGAATTCCATATGGATAATATTTAGCAAATGCTGCGCGATCTCCATGTGGATAATTCTCGGCATAGACTCGAGGGAATCCAGCTGCATAGAGAACAGAATGGGGAGCCGGTTGTAGATTCATCTTGATAGTTTCAGCCATGATGAAGGCTCTTGACGAGATAAACGTCAGTACAAAAGTTGAAACAACTTCAAGCGATAGTAAAATCGAGATCCAAAACAACAAGAAGACAAAAGAAGGTGGAATGGATCAACAGAGCGAGGGGACGCGAGCATGAAGATTTGCTCGCACACAATGGAGCAAAATGCTCAAATAAAACACCAAGTATGAAATCCAAAAAGCGTAATGGCCAAGATAGAGTGGGATTGTGATGATTGAGGGAGGAAATAAACAGTTGCGAATATGATTGTGAAGTTGCTTACCTCAGGTGCAAGACCTCTTGGTGATCGAGGAAGGTGCAACTAGGCCAACGGGTGACTGTCCTCGCTTAATTCTGAAGTATCAAGATGGCAATTGAAGGGAGGCAAAATCAACTTCAAGAGGCAATTGGTAAGGACTGCAGCAGGCAACTCTGTCGGCTTATCCAATGATCGTTAGGTATGGAGAACAATGAAGGTCGGCCTTGGTGAGAATGAGGCTGCAGTTGAAAGAAGAGAAGGTGAAGGGAGAGAAGGGTTTTGTTTTCGTTTGTTTTGTTTATTTAAGTGAATGTGCTGTGCGCAGGTTACTAATGATTTCATCCGATCTATCAAGGGCAAACGGAAGAGAAATTGCGGACGAGGTGAATCGACTTGGCACACCTCCAGCACCGATTTGACAACTGGGTGACAGCTGTTGGCGACAGAGCCCCGTTCAGCGTACGCAGATGGCACATTTTCTTGAACAAGTGCCCAGGTACCAAGTGTTCAATCCAGTGTTCATCCAAGTGCTCAGCCGAGACTATCATCCATGTCATTCCTCGTATAGATGTTGTGCACAACTAGGTAAGTGGTAAAGCTGCTGAAGGAATATGTGCAACAAGCAGCTTGTTGCGTTGATGTCTGTCGGCTGAAGCGCAAAGTTCACAATCCCAGAGATTCTACAAGGCAAGGCAGCGTCAAATTCAGCAAACACCTCTCGCTGTTATAGTATCAAACTGCTGTGCGGCACCAAGCTTCAAGAGTCCAAAGGGAATCACCGGAATATCGGAAGATGTAAAGAGCAGTCTTAATTTTTCCCTCTTCACTACCGTCTATAATGCCCAAATGTCCATGGTAAGAGTGGGGTATACATTCATAAAAGATACAGAGTCAAAAGCTGTGATTATACATGATTTGCTATGGTGCTCACTTTTGAGCATTGAGGAGCTTCAAGATCTCGGACTCGTTGTCTCCTGCAATCGCCTTGCCATTGCTCCAGTCAACAGTCTACCGAGGCATTAGTCACTGGATCCCGCAAGCTGCCTTTCATCAAACCACTTACCAATGGCCGCAACAAGTTCTCCTTGTTCTCCTTGAACTTCTTCAGCGCATCCTTGTCGTCTCTCGCACCCTTGACGACCTGAGAGGCGCCGCTCTGGCCAACGTACTCCAAGATTGTCTGCACCTGGTCGACAGTCGGGGCGTCTTCGGTAATGTTCAGCTCAAATGGCTCACGGCGAGTCTCGGCGTCTTGCGCGGCGCTCTTCTGGGCACTTGTGGATGCCTGCTTCAGCAGATTAGAAACTCGCACAGAGGCCGGGGAGCTGGCCTTGTGGAAGAGCGTGATGATGTCGAGCGTCTTGTGCTATAGAATGGACCCTGGTTAGTTACAGCTGCTGCATAGGACAATGCTAAAGCTAGGATGACCACATTGACGTACAAATCGGAACATGTTGGGCAATCTGCAGGCAATTTGCGGAATTTCAAGCTGTAAGCGGCAGTTCGTTTTGTCTCGATGTTGCTGTGAATGACGTTATTTTCGTTCAGAACTTATCGCGCATTAGCACCGGCAGAAGCTCAAGTGGCCCGTGCGGACCTCCAACCAAGTACCTGTTTACAGCGGCGCCAGTTCTTCTAGCCGCTAACTGAGGCATCAGCTACCAGATGTAACCATCCACGCCTGGAATGTAATTTCTGGGTAAATTAACACAAGACGGCATTCATGCAAATTCTTATTGTTCCTATTCCCATAATGCTTTTAGCCTTGAGAATTCTATGTGCTAATTCGACCCAAGGTCGATTTTCCACCCGCCCCTATTCCAAAACGCCATCAACGTCTGCAATCACATGCAATCATATGCCATGAACAACCAATGCGTCAACCATAATACCGAAACCAGATATGCCAGCTCTGTGAAGAACCCTCCTCCATGTTTAATAGTCTTCATCATCGAGTATCCTCCATCAAGCAGTCGTTGTGCTGCCGGGAGCCATAACAGGGGTGAAGCTTTACGCCTGTTTCTTAAACTTCTTTCGGATATCTTCTTCAGAAAACTTGCGCGTCAAACGCTTCAGGAACTCGACTCGTCCCTCCATAGTGAGATCTGCCTGGGCTCCGAGAGGGACCATACATTTCGCAAGGGTATCATAATCCTTGACCATCAAGCGGTAGGTGATCATAAGAAAGTCGATGTTGTGAAACAAGATTGCCGCTTCTTTGCCGTAGGTCTTACGTTGCTCCAAGAAGTGGATTGGGTGATCACGCCAATGTCTGCGTGGGTTGAGATGGTGGGAAGTATGGTAACCATCGTTAAAGCAAAATCTGTTGCTCTGAAAGCTCGTTAGTTCCTATACAGACAAAGAATAAAAGACTGAGGCTGTACTCACTGCAACGTCCACCAAGGTGATGCTGGATCGATAATCAGAATCCGGCTCGTCGGGGTCAACAAAGGCATGCTGGCCCCAATTGCCCGCCATCAATCCCAGTCGTAGCAACAAAAAGGGGATGATGTACACAAAAATAGTGGCCTTCTTGTTCACAAAGGTTGCCATGGTATAATAGAACAAGTAGGTTCCAAATTCACAACCCGCCGCACGCATAGCCACTCCCCAGCGGCCCTTTCGGGCAAAATACATGGGAAGATCCAGCCAAATGAGGCAAAAGAAACGGCCCACGTAGTGAAGAAAGTGGAAGATGTCGTCTCGCTGATAGCGGACTGTTGATGAGAGATCGTCTGGGCCGTTGCCCTCAACGTGGTGATGCTTGACATGGTGGTAGTAATATGAGTTCCAGGTATGTCCCATCAAGGGATCCGTAATGTATGGGAACAGCTTGTCGAATGTGCCATATTTCTTGGCCAGGATTCCACGCTGGTGAATGTGCTGATGCATCATAAGAGTATAAGTGCCGACATAGTAGACTTGCATGATGGCATGAAGAATTCCATGAAGGAGATTGAAGTTTCGGAACAGGAGAATTGCGCTTGGTACTGAGGTCGTAAAGTACAGTATCAGATGCACAATGAACACCACGTCCGTCTCATAACGTGCTGTTTTCCGTGCCCAGCTGATAAATGGCTGTAGAAGGAGCTTGTTGACTAATTTGGGGAGACGGCTAGGAAGGTCGTCGATGGATACGAATATAGTGGGCTCAAAGTGAGCATCTGCCGGATTTCTCATGGACTTGAGGAGGGCGATGTCTTTAGCAGCTGAGTCCGTCTCGCTGCCCTGCTGTGGCTCAGTCTGAGACTCGGATGAGACATGGTCCCAGTCGCTGTCGACTTTGGCATCTGAGTGAACATCTCGTCTTTGAGAAATATCGTTTTCCAGATTTTTCAGCACAATATAGTCTGCGCGGGTGAGACCGCGGTCGTAAACCAGGGCACTCGTCATGATGAGGTTATCGCAATTGGACAGCAGCCAGAGCTCACAAAACGAAGCCAAGCTCAAGGGAAAAGCGCACCAACAATATTATAAACAAATCGAACCATGGCTGGAGAAAAAATCCCCCTAATATGGCTCAACCGCTTCCTTCGGACATGCCTGCCAGCGCATCCACCTGCGAGATTGCATGGGGCTCCGCATTTTGGTATCCTTCACGCCCACGGCAGATTCTGAGCTGCGAAGGCCTAGTCTGGGCTAAGGATCTCCGCTTGCGATGGCTTGAACCTACAATGGAAAGCAAGGCTATTTGCGGTTTTGCTTCATTTGCATGCCTGGCAGCTGCTAAGCTTTGCTCAATTTCGCCAAAGTTTGCCCGGCCGCTCGGCCGCTCACCCGGCTCTTGCGTCTCCATCTGATTGGCTGCCCGCGTTTGCAAGAAGAACAGAATCTACCTCTGCCGTGATCAAGCCGGAAAAGGAGGCCAATGAATAGACGCTCGTTACGGCTCGGTAGATTACTAGTTAGTCGATCAACTTGGTCCCCTAATAGTGGATCGCAGCGCTGGCCATGTTGCGGTGAATCTGTACCACCTACGGGGGCACCAACGTCTTCAAGTCGTATTGCAGAGCGGGTACTTGGGCCGATTGACGAATGTGTTGACTAGCAGTTTCATCTCTTGAAGCTGTGATGGATATATTACTTTTCTACGGGGTATGTCTTGCGTCTCTATGGAGATTCGTCTCTAGTGGCTCCATTCGCTTTATACGCGTTTGATTGTAGTTGTGATGAGCCACCCCCGTCTCTTGATCGCCCAGAGCTCTTTAGCTCCAAAAGCTTCCAGGGCCGCGTACAGGCAGTACGAGTAACAGGCGATGACTAGTGCCTGGGGCTGAGCTGCTACCTGAAGCTGCCCATTCAGGCGTCGTTGGAGATGCATGTAGAATCAGGAGATTCTAGAACCAATCGAAGGACGAATTGCATTCGCCTCAAAGTGCTAGAGGCGCATCTCAAAAGGGGCAAGACATGGGCCACTAGCGCTATTGTCGCTTGTGCGCATAGGTACTCAAAAATCACAATTTCGATCCAATCATGTAAAGGCTCCCCAAAGCGTGGTACGATATCTGGGCTTGACAAATCGAAAGAAAATGCAGAGGGAAATTTGGAGCAAGTGTGGTCGAGTATCAAAGAACAGAACAGATGCGTGTTTACGGCTCGATATATGCACGTATATACGCCCTAAGGTTCCTGTGCTTTGTCCATACAGGGTAGTCCTTAATAGTAAACAAACAAACATGCAGAGTAGTGGTTAAGGCTAACATACTTAAAGCGTTAGAACTCTTCATACAGCAAAGTATTAACGCAATAGAGCGCTCTATGTAGAAACTATAGAAGCCGCTAATGCTGTGATTACTGTAAAATAGAGCAGACATTTCGAGCCATCATATTGGGTATGCGTGTATATCACCGGGAATACAGGCTTGGCGCTCGCTAGGGATTTTTCTGACACCGGCAAACCGGGTTGAACTACACCACATTCAAAAGTTTATATAATTTGGCGATCAGTCAAAAGGATTGTTAATTTGGCTATGACGTTAGGTTTTCCACATATCGGTTGTCATGTCCATCATTGTGATTCAACAACCATGACGTAGGATGAAGTCACATATAATGTGGAGAATCGTGCAAGCCCTTTCTTTGAGAGCGATGTATATAAGTGCAGCTGAACGACAACTAATTGGATCAGTAACAACGTTAAAATAATTGTCGTACGCGCAACTCAGAGTCACTATCAACAGAATTTCAACCGACATCCCAATTTTGCGAAAAACTAGTTACCAATCATGTCAGGGTACTCCAAAGTCGGCACATCTGGTGTTTATGAGGCAGGTGACCAGAGAAATGTTGCGAGATCCGAGATGCCGCAAGCAGAGAAATACAACGAGGGTCAACACGCATCACACATTGGACTCGATTCAAGTAAATGCCTTCCCTCAATCACATTGAACTGGTGTTTGTACTGACCTGAGCTTAGAGGATCAACGCTCTATAAAGAACAGGCTGGCCGCGGAAGAGGTAGGTTGCTTGATCTCGTCAGTGGAATAGTATCTGATCTGTTTAAAGCGGAGAGAAGAGCCTGAAGATGACCTTGAGACGTCTTTATCGAAGAAGGACCCAACACTACCAGTCAGTGCCCGATTCCCAGACCATGAACCATTAGCTAACAGCACAAAGGCCAAGATGCATGGCAATGAACCATCGAAGGGGGCCAAAGTAGACGCTGAACTAGCGGCAGATGAGGAAGAGTATCTCAGACGGAAGGGCAAGGCTTAATTGAATTCGGATGGGCCGATACCATGTGTATTCTTAAATCAGGATCAGAAGTGAGGCATGGGAAAGCTGTGGTCTCCCTAAGCACATAAGGAATTAATAACGGGGAGCAAGGTGAACGGAAACGCTTGGCCATGAACAGGTCTCACTATGCCTGGCCAAACATTAAAGACAAAAAAAAAACAAAGCTTGATTGCATGCATCATTAAAAGTTCACGATTGCAGAAGGACAAGTTGAAGCTTGAGTGAAAAATATTATATTTGGATTAAAAGCTATATATCATCTGTAAAAACTTTGTCAGCCATGGCTCAAGCCAGACAAAGAATGAATAATAAAGGGGCATAAATAGCAAAGGCTCAGAATATGTAAGAAAAGTTTCTCATTTGTTCATTTGGTATAGCATCCCCGGCGAGGGAGCCACCGCATGTGATCAACCGCAAATTACCTCATCATAGTACCGATGCAGGATAGAAAAGAAAAAGCTCATCCTTACCTTGACAATTACAGAGAATATCGGATTGATTCCTGGCTAGGAATCTTGCATTTTGACCTCCCAAGGCCCTGCAAAAGTGATTAACGAAGAGCTCGAAAATTTTAGTTCGAGGTCGGGAAGAAAAAGGAACGGCGATTGGTCCGTGCGCCACACTGGCGCGAGCGGCGTAGTCAGCAAGGCAAAACAGAAATTCCGAAAATTTTCAATTAGGGCAAACGGGTATTTTCTGCCGCACACTCTTAGATAGCCGAGCCCTCAAAAAGTCATTGGAGCCTCCAAAGTGAACGCTGCTCCAGAGAACATCCACCCGAACGGCAGATAATCGTCGACATCTGGTATGATACACGCGCCTTCCTCCACTTCATTCATACACCGAATGAATTGCGACTTCGTCGAATGAACCCAGCCGACTAACACGAACATCGAAATAGATTCCGTCACAATGGGCGAAGCACTGATTGAGGGATCCAACTGGCGCCTCGTTGAGGTTGGCCGTGTTCTGCTGATCAACGGCGAGCACCCCTACAACGGCCGTCTGGCTGCCATCGTCGAGATCATCGACCACAAGCGAGTACGTTGACGTGTTCCCTGAGAAGGAGAAGCGCGAATGAATCCCCCGGACGACATGGCTAATTCGATGACATCTAGGTTCTCGTTGAGGGCCCTTCCTCAGACCCCAAGCTCAAGGTTCCCCGACAAGCCCTGCACCTCAGCAAGGCTCTCCTCTCCCAGTTCGTCATTGAGAACCTGCCCCGAGGCTCCCGACACACCACCCTCACCAAGGCTTGGGAGAAGGCCGAGATCGATGCCAAGTGGAAGGGCAGCAACTGGGCCAAGAAGCGCGAGCAGATTGAGCGGAGAAAGGCCCTGACCGACTTCGACCGCTTCAAGGTTCTGCGCCTCAAGAAGCAGCGACGATTCGAGGAGCGCAAGGCTCTGGCCAAGATCAAGGCCTCCGCATAATTGGGTTGTTCGCTCTGGAGTCACGGAGAGGTTGATCGGATGGTATTAGAATGAGGGACATGGGTCCAGGCAGGAAACGCATTTACAGCAGCAAAAAGAACTGCTGGATTCATTTTTGCTCCCGTTCTGGAAGGGCTGTATGTTGTCACATATCATCGTTTATGATGAACGGCGTCAATACGGAAATTCAGACAAAATGAATTCAAAGCTTATAGGGAGGATTCTCATTGTGGATCACTGTGATTTCGTGTAGTAAAAAAATATCTATGAAATGCATGTAAATCAAACACTACGGAATTCTCCCCTTCTTCTGCTACATACGCGACTTTGTACCTTTTTCTTTGGACTTTCAAATTGTACTGCCATATATCGCAAGTGACTTGGCTCACATCTTTGCGACCACAGACTTTGATTACCTAATTTGGGTTAGCCGCAGTCATCCACCCAAACCCTAGAAATTCGCAGTTCAAATCTACAACACAAATCGGCATTGCGCAGTGTCACGTTGAAGTAACAAATTAGATTAATCTTCAGGCTAATCGCATAAAATGTAAGTATCGATTATTGCAGCCCTTTTTTCTCCCTCTCGGAATGGCTAGGCTCGGCATCAGGTGACAGAGAAGCTCGTCCGGTCATTTCGCTGAGGCAGAATATTTTCGTGCGAAAACGAAGGAGGGGACACAAGCTAATACTGTTATCCCCCACCACAGTCACCAAAATGGCCAACCCCCGAGTTGAAGAGCTTCCCGACGACGAGACCAAGACCAAGCCCACGGTCGAGGAACAGGATTCCAGCGATGAGTCCGATGCTGAAGAGCTCGGCGATGGATCTCTCCCCGCCGGTTCTACTGCTGTAGTCCACTCTCGCTACGAGAAGAAGGCCCGCAAGGCCCTACTGGAGAAGGGCAACTTGGTCCGAGTCCCTGGCATCACCCGAGTCACTCTCCGCCGCCCCAAGAACGTAGGTCTCGAGATTTTGGAAGGCGGTTTTGCCTGAGCTTGATCTGGAAAATGGAGACTAAACGGATATGCACAGATCCTCTTTGTCATCAACAACCCCGAAGTCTACAAGTCCCCCAACAGCAACACCTACATGTGAGCAAAAAATCTTAGCCTGGGGGAATGGGGAAATATGCATCTAACCTTCTTGCAGTGTCTTTGGTGAGGCTAAGATCGAGGACATCAACGCCACCGCTCAGCAGGCTGCCGCCGCTCAGCTTGCCCAGGCCAACGCCGAGGCTGAGCACGCTGGCCACAACCATGATCACGACCACGACCACGATCACGACCACGACCACGACCACGGCAAGGAGGGTGAGGCTGAGACTAAGAAGGAGGAGGAAGAAGAGGATGACGGTGAGGAAGTCGATGCCGAGGGTCTGGAGGACAAGGATATCGAGCTCGTCATGACCCAGGCCAATGTCAGCCGCAAGAAGGCTGTAAAAGCACTAAAGGAGAACGACAATGATATTGTCAACTCCATTATGGCATTGAGTATCTAATGGCGGGGATATGGGCAGGGTGCTTGAAATTATCTCATTAGTCTGCGCAACTATATGCGCCTAGGGATTTGTATTATTGTTCATCCAAGAGCTTTACTCGTCCTTGAAGAAAGAAAATGATGGCATGAAAGACGAGATTGTCTAAGTTTCTACGAGCAATTGTGACATAGATTTTCGGCGCTCAAGTAATTAAGAAGCATCATGGAAATGACTTTTATGGATGGCTACATATATGAAAGACGTTATAAGCACACAACGCTCTCTAATGCACAGACTCTGTTATTATATAGCATGTACTTGCCCAATGAGCGATCTGAGCTCCTCACAAGCTCACCTAGGAGGGGGTATGAGATGCATCCGGCTCGAACTCGCATTGGCTGACTAAGAAATAGCCATGCGTAAAGTCACGTGATGCGATTTTGTGCAAGCGGCCCCGGCTGGGCAAGTTCGGCAAAGTCAATCAACCTCCGTTAAAGATCTCGCTCTCTGATCCCAAACGAGACCTCACATCACATCTCAAAATGGCGGCCACGGTTAGTTTGTTCCTCAATTGGCGCAAAAATGTTTTGATTGCCGAGTATCCCACGGGGAAAACGTGGCGGTCGAAGGGCGCTGATCAACATGCGCAACATTTACGTTCATGAGCTAATTTTCATCTTCTTCCGAAACAGCGAAGCGCAGCTCTCAAGCTCGACTGGGTCAAGGTCTCCTCGTCCCTGGGCCTCCGCGGCCAGACCGTCGCCTCCCTGCAGGCCTTCAAGAAGCGCAACGAGGACGCCCGCCGCAAGGTCCAGCAGCTGACCGAGCAGCCTACCGCCGTCGACTTCGCCCACTACCGCTCCGTCCTGAAGAACCAGGCCGTCATTGACGAGATCGAGAAGCGATTCAAGGCCTTCAAGCCCGTCACCTACGATGTCTCCCGCCAGATCAAGGCCATTGACGCCTTTGAGGTTGAGGCCGTCAAGAACGCAGAGGCCACCAAGCAGGCCGTCGACCTGGAGCTGAAGGACCTGGCTGCTACCCTTAAGAACATCGAGGAGGCCCGGCCATTCGACGAGCTTACCGTTGATGAGGTTGCCGCCGCTGAGAAGTCCATCGACGAGAAGACCGCCGAGCTGGTGTCCAAGGGCAGATGGATGGTGCCTGGTTACAAGGTATGTGCATATCCTGGTTTTGTGATGACATGTACAGCGCTAATACCCCGTACAGGAGAAGTTTGGCGATCTTGCCATGGTCTAAGAAGTTCATTTTACCCCATTTCAACTTCCCTATGTGTACTCTAGCATTGTAGATACAAGAATTCGGGGCAGGGGCGTCAAGTTTCTGCTGTTTCTCCATCTCCTGCGTCCCCTTATGTATTTGTGCACAAGAAGAGAAAAAAACAAAAAATTACAACATAAATCTCGAATGGCGATAGACTTAAAAATGGGAGGCCATTACTGTATGGGAGGAGCAATTATAATAATGAATTTCTAAGCAGCAAGTGTAATGTGATGATGTATTGCGCCAGTGGTATATCTGTCTGCAAGACCACTTGTACTATCTAAAACATACACCATAGAAGCGCGGACAGTAACGCTTGCGGCTCATCTCGAAACAAATTTGAGCCTTCTAAAATATTTGCAACCAAGCCAAAAAAAAGAAAAAAAAAAAAGGAATAATCTCTCAACTCCTCCCATAATAAATGTTCGTACCCCGTAGCAAGCTTCCGTTTTGATATCAAAACTTATCGCAGGTCTTGGAAATATATCTTCATATATCTCTCTCTTTTCTTCCTCTTGTCCCTCATCTTCCGATTCTAAGTCTAAGCCTTTGCATATTTCTCTGTCCATTCTCTTGCCGTTGCTATGGCTGCCACCTCGTCTTCCTTCCAGCTCTTAGCAACATCGGGGGCAAGGGGGTCATCGGGGTTGGGAGCACCGAGGAGGGCTTGGATGGAGAGCAGAATCGTCCGGATCTGCAGCGCAGGAGACCAGTTGTCTGTGACGATGTGTAAGCATACTTGTACAAGATTCCGAGGACAAACAAGATCGCTTTCAATAACGCACTCTTAAGAACATCCAGGCAAATGCGGCCCAGCTTGTCAACGTTCGGGTGGAAAATCTTGGTAAGGAATCGAATCTTGGGTGGAGTCATGGGATAGTCATCTGGGAGGAAGAGTTCGAGCTTGAAAATGCCGCCTTGTGTCTTCGTCAGTACGTATTCTCCTGCTTGCGCCATCTTTGAGGAATCCGCTAATACCTTCGTATGGTGACGATGCAGGACCGTGGATCTCGACGTCAAAGTATCGCAGGTTGTCTTCGTGAGGCACGGCGCTGATTCCGGGAACTCTATGGCAAGCAGTTTGTCAGCTATATGGACAGGGTCGATATGACTGGGAGCATCTAGATGGAGGGGCGCACGGTTCCGCCATAAGGCGTTCGGTTTCTTTGATGATGCGTTTCGGGAGAGCCATATTGACGTATTCTCGTCTGCTTTGGGGGCAACACAGATCTGTTTAGAAGATAGAAATAAAAGAGAGACAGTGATCTGAGACTCTTCTGCTGCCGACACAAATCGCAGTTGTCGTTGATTAGCGCAAAGGCTGAGTTGTGCAAGGTAGAAAGATGAGGCGGGGCATGCGACACTGAAAAGACAGGCCTGACAAAGGCAGCAGCAGTAGCAGCAGAGGGGCAGTTTGCGATAAGAGGCGCGGAGACAGAGAGCAGAAAGAAGAGCTCCGAAAAGCTTCTCTGATTCAGCGTAATGTCCCTGAGTCTCTTATTTGCTTGATAAATGCTCTATATGATCTTCTGCTTGCCCTGCACAAGGCTGAATGTTCGTAGTTGATCAGGATAAAGTTTTCTGTGCTGGACGACCCGGTAGGTACTCGGTGCTACCGGTACTGCACAGTTCGCCTTATCAGAAATGATGCACTGGCTGTAGCGTGCAATACAGATCCGACAGCACCTTGATAGGCGCCTACAGAAGGGGAAAGTCTAGCTCAGGTACCGATGCAAATGAATCCCCTAGCCCAGCAACCTACAGGGTACTTGTGGCGTCTCAACGCCCCTTGCTGTCAAATCATGGCGCGCATTCAGCCTAACTCAACCACCATCTCAGCATCATCTGACGGCGCTCAGCCCATTGAACACTTTCTAAAGCCGGGACACGGCTTATTTTACTCCTATGAAGTCGAATGAATAATGCGAGCTGCTCATAGCTGTTGGCAGCAACACGACTGCCACCTCAGCCGGGACAGACACTCTGCCTAGGGCTCGCAAATGCGCCGCGACATGCGAGAAACATTCAATCTGCAGGAGAGAACAGAGGACGATGCCGACATTTGACCAGCTGGCTGATTCGCCCAAGAAGGGCCGGATCATCAAATCGGCGTATGACAGTGAGAGCTTCGAGGCCGACGGCTCAATCCATGTCGAGGGCGTCGTCGGCTCTGCCACCATTTCGCCTTCAGGGCGAGACATTGCGCTGGCGTCGTAAGTTGTGAGAACGCGTCCAAGAGCATCGCAATGAGTGCTGACACCTCCCCTTAGACCAGAAGGTCTTGCAATTATCGATCTAGACTCGCCGTACAGTGCACCGCGGCGTCTGCGAGGCTCTGGCCAGCCATGGCTGGTTGTCGACGTGCAATGGTCTCCGTTCACAGCTCGAGACTATTGGGTCGTCTCAACGGCAAATCACCGTGCGCTGGTGTGGAATCTCAATCTCCGGGACGATTCAAGCACTGGCGCAATTGAGCACTCTCTCCAGGGCCATACTAGGGCCATCACAGACGTCAACTTTTCAGCCCACCATCCCGATCTCCTTGCAACTTGCTCCGTAGACGGCTATGTGCATTGGTGGGACCTGCGCCGGCCTCGTCAACCTGTACTTACCTTTTGTGATTTCTTTGCTGGTGCTACCCAAGTCAAGTACAATCGTCGCGATCCTCACATCCTAGCTTCATCACATGATCGTTGGTTGCGCATTTGGGACGAGCGAAAGGTTTCGGAGCCTGTCAAGTCCATTACCGCACACACATCCAAGATATATGGCCTGGACTGGAATCGAAGCAAAGCGACTGGTCTTGTCACATGCTCCTTGGACCAGAGTATGAAGTTTTGGGATTACAGCAATGACGGCAACGAATTGGAGCATGTTATTCAAACTGACTATCCGGTTTGGAGAGCCCGCCATACGCCGTTTGGTCATGGCCTTCTAGCAATGCCTCAGAACGAACCTGGGGATCTATACCTGTATGATCGCCAATGGTCCAATGATGCGACTAAGGAAAAGTCACAGAAACCAGTTGCTGTGTTTCCTGGCCATGGAGGCCACCAAGCAAAGGAGTTCCTGTGGAGAACTCGAGGCGGGGTTTCAGAAGATAACCTTGATGAGCGAGAATTTCAACTTGTATCCTGGGGAACGGATAATGAATTACGACTTCACTGTATCGACCCTAATATCCTCTCAGCCGTAGGATACAAGAAAGGAACCCCAGCTCAGGACGGCATCAGCCTTACTCGAAAGGGAGCAACGTACAAAACATTCCGCACCGTTGATGATGCATCCAACCTTGACAAACGGACGAGTACAATGAAAGATTCAAGGACCGGCGCGGGTCACAAGCAAAGTGCCCTTACGGCTGCTGCACGATCTTCTGCGCCCTTTGGTCGTCAGATGAGGCCGGCGTGGCGTGGACCATCAATGAAAGCCAAAAGTGGATCAGGCAAGAGGCTGGATCCGAGTCAAGCACAGATCGGTTGGATGAAGGGTATCAGTATAACGAAGAGAAGAGGTTTAATGGATGGGCCTAGGCGGTTAATGTCTAAGGACTCCGGCATTATGGGCCACGGCTATCCTGACGACCAATGGGGCGAGCCCGACACAATTCAAGAAGAGCTCCTCCGTGTTAGTACTCAGATCCCAAAGGTCAAGTGGGACAATATCGACATGGACAACTTAACGTTGAGTGCCTCGCTCAATGGCCCATGGGGGAAGGACGGAGAAGCCATCTTCATCAAGGTGAAGATTGATATACCTTTGGAGTATCCCAAGCTCAAAGCGCCAAAATTCATCATCGAGAAGAGCTCATTTATGCCAGAAGAAATGCACAAGCGGCTTAACCGAGAGCTACATGAACTCGCAGAACAATTTTTACGAAGAAAGCAAAATTGCCTGGAAGTAATATTCACCTACCTGTTAGGCGAAGTTGATCTCGAGTCCAGCACTACTTTCTTCAAGAACGTTCGCGACTTAGACGATGATGATGACGGGCTGGCCGACGATAGTTCAACAGATGAGGAGGAAGACATTCCAGCAGGTGGATCGGCCTCTATGTCTCAGGAACTCCCTCCTCAAGACGCGGACCTCGCAATTGCGACTCCTGCCCGTCTCATTATTCCACCACCTCCCCTCACCTGTAGCGCTCGGTTTTCGCATGATGGCCGACTCATTTGCTTCTTCCCGACAAAGGAAGAAAAAGCACGGGTTCTATTCCAAACAAGTGCGGATGCGAATAAAGACCGTACTAGGATAGACCAACCATTCTTCGCTGGCTTTGGTCGCCTGACACAGGATCCCCTTCCGCGATACAAGTATACGACCGAGGAAGCTTCCGCTACGGAGGATCAATCAGACTCTGAGGAAACTGACGAGTCTTCTTCTTCATCAGGCGACTCTGAGTCTACATCAATACATAAAATGAGCCTGTGGTATCATTCAAGCCGGCATCTAAGGAAGGCTTGGAGCGAAGATCGATCAATTCGATCCAGCGGTGGTGGAACAGGAACAGGAGTGGGTACGGGCACAGGTACGGGCACAAGCCGCCGACGGATCGGCCGACCTCGAAATGTGATATCAATCCACGATCTGCGGCCTGACCTGCCCTCTAAGAAGGAGTTTGCACAAGAGTATGCCATCTTTGGTGACGGAGCAGATGTGTGCGAGCACAACGCAAGAGTTGCAGAGAAATATGGTTACACCGACCTTATGAATGTATGGCACTACTTGGCCCTGCTTTTGAAGAAGGGCATACCACTCGAAGTCTTGGCCAGCAATCAGAGACGGAGCTCTATCCTTGTCATCGCCCGCGATGTTGTGTCCAAGACTCGCGTATTAGACAACGATCAGGGCAACACTCCAGCAGGAGACAGTGCCTTGCTAGGTCGAGTGAAATGGGGCCGGCATCCGCTGGCCAAGGATTTTATCCAAGAACTCTTCAGCTACTTTGAGATGATTGCCGATATACAAATGTTGGCGATGCTTTCATGCATCTTTAGCGAATCATCGGCCGATGACAGTGTTGCCTACGTGGAATCACAACTTCCATCCCAGGAAACACCACTTCCTCTTAAGGCGCCGTCCTTCTCCCTAGACTATTTCCCTACAGATGCCACTACGTGGAATATCTATGGAAGAGGTGTACCACATTCGAATGTGACTACACCCGGCACTCTTCACACGCCGCTTCCTTATGCTGGCTCACACGCATCTGATGATGGAATCATGTGGGCTGGCGAGCCTGGCACGAATTCATACTCCTGCGGCGAGACACCGCCATCAAAAAGGCCTCTGACCGCTGATGCAGACCCTCCCTCAACAATGCTATCGCGGTCTCCCTCCAACCGACCTCTCTCAAGGGTTAGCACCGGGTTAAGTTCAGCATTTTCAACAAACTTCCCGCGGTCATTCACGGGGGCAAGTTCGTCATCACCCCCGGCGGGACAGCTGAGAAAGAAGCCAAGCCCAGCTGAGATGATTTTGAATACGCTGACTCCGCGTACGGGATATGCTAGTGCGGGGCCGACTTATCCCGTGGGAGATTCTAGTGGAGGTAGGAACTCGGTGTCAGACGACGAATACCGCCGAGATGATCTGATGTCTCTCGTACCGGTGAGCGTTTCGGTATTTGTGGAAGATCAAACAATATTTGATGATGACGGTTGGCTGAGCGAGCCTCTACTGGAGCCGAGCCGAGCCAACATTTACGCCAACTACCGGTATGCATATGCAGAGATGTTGCAGATGTGGCGACAGCCCCTCGCTCGATTGGAAGTCATGAAATTCAACGTTTTGAAGGACGAATCGCCTTTTGCTGGAGTAGAGGGAAGCTTTCACGATTCGTTTACGCTCCACGATGGGGCCAGTGGGAATGCATCCCACCTCAAGACGGGATCGTCACCTATCATTATGGGCAAGAAAGATCAGCTGCAAATTCTAGCTGCTTCTGGCCGCGGGTTGGATGTGACGGGTATATGCCTTGTTCACGAGACTCAATTAGACCCCTTGCGTTACACTTCTTCCGACTCCAAGGTCGGTGGAGCAGTGGGAACCTGCGATCGTTGTCATCGTATCCAGAACCAGCTCCGCTGTGTGTACTGCCTGGAGCCCGTAGACGCTCTTTTCCCGCCGTGCCTGTCATGCGGGTGCGCGTTTCACGAAGACTGCCTTGCAGAGTGGCATGCTGCGGGCGAGATGTTCTGCCCGGCTGGAGATGAATGCAACTGCGTCGAAGAAGCCGTCAGAGGTCAGGTGGAATCGTGGGCGGCTCTCCAGGGCGCCGTGATGAAAACACAGTCTAAGACGTTGCTGCTACCGGGCGCAGCAATGGATGGCAGCGATGTAGAGCATGAGAAGCATCAAAGAGTGGGTACTAACGGCGACTGGGAACGTGTTGGTAGAAATGTACCAAGTAGGGCGCAAGGTGCAACGGCATCGACTGGATTGAGTCTCGTACGCTTTAAAACGCCTACAGGGCCTTGGTCAAGAGCCTCGAGCCAAAGGAGAAATGGGAAGAGGGGGAACTGAGGGGGGTAATGTTCTAGGGTGACAGGACAAGCTGTACGATTCTAAATGACAGCAAGTGCAGACAATAATTTAGAAGGGCGTGTTGCCAATCTGCTCTTGTCATCTATCCGCAAGGACTAAAGATGGGAATGGATAGGGATAAAAATTATCTACGATGCTAACTGCTTGATTCACTCATAATACAACCAATTTCCCTGCCGAGGAATCATTGATGATTATGCTTCTTAGTATTTCATCACATCCGCAGATTATGCAAGATTATAGTGAAAGTTTCTGAAAAAAAGAATACCCTTGAGCATGGTTCATGACAGCAGAAACGGTTCACGGGTCGGCGGTGGTTGTCGCTAAACCCCCGGAGCTGGAGACTGCGGAACTCGGCCACGGGCCGAAGACCGTGAGCTTCCGTGCCGCTCCCGATCATGCCGTTCCGGAGGGGAGGGGGCCATGTTGTGCAGCATGTGGAATCCAAATTTTGCTGAGGCTGCGAGGTCCTACAAATAGACGAGGAAACGAAAGCTTATGTGACGAGCATGTTGAGTTTTTTTTTTCTTCTTTCGGATAGCGAGAGCCGGTTGAGGATAAATCGGCCAAGATTACGTGTATCTGGACTGGACTGGCCGTATTTATCTCCATTTTTGTTGACAAAATGACAGCGGCGATTAGTCTCGGCGAAGAAGCTTCAAAGGCAAGCCAATTTTTGACTCAGGTAGGATGAAAGTGTTTAAAATCTCACAAGAGCTTTGCTCCAATTTTAAACTCAGCTCTAAGATCTCACAACATGAAAAAAAAAAAAGGATCTGAATAGGGCATAAATCAAAAATCGGGGAAAATAAAAAATGGCTTAACCTACACAGCCCTACCAGCTTTTAATTCTTATGACCATTCTGCTAATTATGACCGTTCTGCTAATTGGGCAAATGCTGAGAATGAAGGATTAGATCAGCCCACCCCTCGTCTAATTAAACGAAGGAAGTTGAATCATTTACCCAATGAAGTATATGATCGTGAATATTCCCTTTTCTGAATGCGATGTAGTTGGTGCAAATGACTCGTTGACTCGGGTGGATCGGCGAGGCGAAAACGCTTCAGGATCCATCCGCCAATTCCTACACGAAGTCATTCCCCGATCCTTATCAACCTGCAGCTACTATTAATGCAGCAAATCCTACCGTAGCAATTGCTGCCCCCCCTGTGATGGCGTCTTGAACCCCCACGTTGGCATGAACTGGGCTATTTGTGCAAGTCGGAAAGGCTTCCGTGTGGCGTGGATGACGTGCCCGGGCATTGAGCTTGTCAGGGTTTGTACCAAGGGAGCTTTTGAGAAAATGAATGAGAATGAGGGGGAGACCAACTAACTACATAATAAACTTAATGGGAGCTCTCTTTTTTCTGTGTTGCTTTTCTCATCTCATCATCTTTCTACTGTGCCTTTTTTCCCACAGCATTCATTCCTGTCAGTCTCACTCTGTGGCCCAAAAACTTAGAGTTCACTAGGTCTTATACCAACGAGGCTTGGTGAAGCTCCAAAGGCAAAACGAATCATTATATAAATCAAACACACAACAAGCTGCTATCCCCTTTCACTCCCCCGACTCATATCCATTCCTTCCCAATTCCCAATATTTCAACAATATTCCACAAAAATCCGCCAAAATGCCCATCACAGCAGACGACAAGCTCCTCCTGCACTACCCCATCCCCCTCCCGGACAGCTTCTTCGAAACCGTCAAAGCTCGCTGGCCCCAACTCAAAGTCCACATGGAAACCTACCCCCCCGGAAATAGCACAATGAAAAACACCGACGAGCTGCCGGACGAGGTCTGGGAGGGCGTCACGCTGCTCTCCGTCGTCCCGCCGCCCAGCGCGGCCAAGATGAAGAATGTCAAGTTTGTCCAGTTGGGATCCGCGGGATGGGACGTTTGGCTGGAGCATGAGGTGTTTCTGAACAAGAACGTCGAGTTTTGCAATACGAGCGGTGTTCATGCGTAGGTTGTTTTCCTATCTCTCACCCCTTTCTGACGTTAAGAAAAATGAGTCGAATGGGATGGAAATGAGTCAATGTGATCAAAGACCGGTATTAACGGAGCATTGCGTAATTGCAGACCTCAGATTGCCGAATGGGCCATTGGCGCCTGGTTAACTCACTCACACCATTTCAAGACTTACATGGAACAAGCAGACAGAGGAGTCTGGGATATGGCCCTCGCGAAAAGCCAGGTCACAGACTCCGTTGGTCTCCGCATGTAAGTAGCCAACCGATCTCCTCTCCAGCTGATCTCTAGCTCATGTGTACCAAATAGGGGCATCATGGGCTACGGCGCAATCGGCCGACAAGTCGCCCGCCTAGCCCACGCGCTGGGCATGGAGATATACGTCCAAACTCTGAGTCCCCGGCCAACTCCAGAGTCCAAGAAGCTCCGAGAATACATCGTCCCCGGCACCGGTGACCCAGACGGCCTCCTCCCCGCAAAATGGTTCTCCGGCTCCGGCCCCGAAGCCGTCAACAACTTTCTTAGCCAGGACCTGGACATCGTTCTCCTCAGTCTTCCCATGAGCCCCCAAACCAGACACTGCATCGGCGCAGAGCAGTTCAAGATCCTCGGCAAGAAGAAGCCGTTCCTCATCAACGTCGCACGAGGTCCCCTTGTCGACACGCCCGCCCTGATCGAGGCCCTTGAAGGAGGACTCCTCCGTGGAGCCGCTCTGGATGTCGCAGAACAGGAGCCCTTGCCACAAGAACACCCTTTGTGGAAAGCCCCAAACGTCTTCATCACACCACACATCAGCTGGCGGTCTACCAAGTTGACCGAGAGGATAACCGATGTATTGCTCCAGAATCTGGAGAGGTGGGATAAAGGAGAGCCCCTGCTGAATCGAATCAAGAGATGAAAAGTTTGGTATGCCCAGCACATAATAGAAAATACAATAGATTGCAACTGAGATCCGGATGATTGCCGTGTTTTGTTTCCCAATGCATAGACGTAGACATACCAAATTCAACTAGCTTCCCACTGTGAAATCACAATCACTATCAGAGTTTCTGCACCGAATCATCTTAACGGGTACGATTTATATAAACAAGCAAAGAGGCACCTTCATGAAGCATTTCCCTCGTTGCAGCATCAACTCATCAAACTCGTACATTCGTCCCTGCGAAGGGCTTATTAGTCTGCTAGTTCTCCATGTCTGATCTTAGTCTGTCCAAATGACTCCCATATTTCTCCCTATAGAGTGACTGTTAAAAAACTCCTTTCCGTAAAGAGCCATCTCATTTCCCTTCCAAAGTCCAAACATTTAGGAAAACCTCCGGAAAAAAAAAAGAACAAACTGGGCGGAGAAAAAACGTAGAAGAAGAAAGAAGAAAGAAGCTCAAAGAAAAAGAAGAAAAAGAAAAGGAAAGGAAAGGAAAAGAAGAAGAGGAGCAGAGGCAAATGCAGAGAAATCACAGTACCTTCACATTCTCAATCCTGTGAGTCCATCATTTAATTTCGCCTTTCCATTTATTGCATGCAGGTTGCGTATTTTTAAGCCTCATAGCTTTGGGGAAATAGAATCGCTAGTGCTGACGTAAAGTGAGAAGTAGCGGTTCCCAAGTTCATCCATCGCCCGGCGAACGCGTATCAACGACCGTCATGTGCCATTCCAGGATTAATTATCCTGTCTGGTCTGGCGGTTCAAGGGTTGATCCCACAATACTTTTCCGTTCGAGCAAAATTGTTGGTCAATGCTCGCCCAGTTGACTGAGTGATCCAAGCCGATAGTGTCGTATAACGAAGCCTCTGGTGAATAGCCGGTCCCGATGTTGTGTGTTACGGCAGAAAAGAATAGTTAAACTGAGGCTGATAAAATGATATACCAAATGGTCTCTGTAATGCTGTAATGATCGACTTGTTGAAATCGCGTGTATTTCCGTCTGTACCCCCAACTCTGCTCCATTTGTCTGTCTGTCTCTTGAAGGCCAAATGCGGGTGTTTTTTGTGGACAAGTCTCCGAGAGATTAGTACGCATAGATCAAAAATTAGTGTATTGTTTCCATTGAGGATATGCCGTCATCTCGCGGCTGCAATTGAAGTGTCGAAGCATGCTTTTGCTGAGCGTGCAAATTTCCGATAGTGTAAGTGGTATAGCTCCAGGTGGTGCTGCGAATAAAACAGGCCCTATGAAAAATTCATAGAAATGCTGTTGTGTAGAGTTTTGTAAGTCGCCAGAATGTTGGGTTGAGGGAACATGCTCCCTTCCCCCGTTTTATCTCGTCTCATATATCATCCGTCGTGCTGGCATCTCTGGCGCTTTTCGTCGAGCTGAAGTCGCTACCTCATCGTCAGAGCCTTCCCATCTTAGGGAAAAGGTTAATATCCTCTCCACAATGATCCATCTCATTCTGTTTTCTGAGGTATCCTTCTCGGTGGCCTGCGCCTTGGTAGACCATGGCATGATACGCTGCCAGCCTTCGGAGCCTTCCATGACGCGATACTTGCCATCCATGAAGATAACCTTGGAAACCATTTTAGACCGGCCGTGGTTCAGCGCTTGGCAATCCTCCTTTCCGCATCGTCCTTGCCGCAAAACCGCCTTGGTTTCTGGCTCATCAAGATCCAATGGCGCAATCTCAACAATATTTTCATCTATCCAGTAACGAAATTGCCTGGCCGTCTTTCTTAGACGCACATCGTATGGTAGGTTTTGGTCCACGCCAACCATCCAAGACCTGTCTACCTCGCCAATCTTGACAATCCACAGGTCCTTGAGGTTTGGGAACCAAAACTTGTCAAACTCGACCTTTCCAGGCCGCTCCTGAGGATACCACCTTTCCAGATAGGCAGAGTAGTGGTTCAGCCCCTCGATGCGCCCATCGTCAGGGAAGCAATCCCAAAAGGCAAGCCTCTCGACAAGCGGGGCCAGCTCCTCTAGGGGCGTGTTTGAGCTTTGATCAGAGATGTTGGGATCACAGACCAGTATGTCTCTGGCGAAGTGAATGTGAGATCCGCGGCCTACGGGCTCGTAGCCTTCTCTAGTCTCAATGCGAGCTTCCGCGTTTAGGCGAGTGACAACAGGGATAGGATACGATTTTGGCTTGTGGACAAGATCGTCGAGAATGACGATACGCGGCTCCACTGAACAGGACCATATCTTGAGACGAAGCTCAGGGGGCAGATGGGAGAAGCCCGAGGCGGCGGACGAGACGTCGTCGTCGTAACTGGACGGGTCATCAGCCTCGCCGTCGGCGGCGCTGGGGAGCGAATGAATCGGTATCATTGCGAACCAGGAGTCACAGCACAGCAAGCAAGTGAGCTGCCACACGTATGTGTATAAGATGGAAGCGGTTATGTGATGTGTGGGCGATATGCGCGTGTATATGATATGTGTGGGCGCGCGCGCGATGAGGAAGGGTATGATGGGCGCTCTGGCGGGCGAGGAGCAGGAGCAGGAGGTGTACAAAGAATGCTGGATATCGAATCACGACTCCAAGTCTCATCCGGACACTATCACCAAAAGGACCCGAATCACGCGGAGGTCAGAGAAGCTAAGAGAGCAGCCGCAGGGCCTCCCCGTCCCTTTAAGAATGTAAGGGGTGCGACAAGGCCGGACGTCGGGCGCAGCGTCATGTAGGTTGACGGAGCTGCACGTTGTTGGGGAGACGCCATTTGCGGCGTGGCAGGCACAAGTACTGTACAGTACGGGGGGAGGGTCTTGGGAGGATGGGATGGATTGGATGGATGAGTGGGATAGGATGAATAGGATGGACTGATGGATGTGCGCGTGAGAGACACAGACAAGAGGCCAAGGATGTGCGCAGACGGTGGTCATACCGAGCAAGCAAGGTACAAGGCAAGGCAATGCGCAGTACTTGGACTTGGAGCCGCTCCATACACACTCGTACATGTAGGTACCTTGGCAACCAGCAGAGCAGCCGCAAAAAGGGCTCCAAGGGAAACGGAACGGGGTGCGTCGTCTCGGCGCATACGAGCGAGGCCTTGTCCATGTACGAGTATGCACGAGTAATACTCTGTACATGTGTGCTCGTGGCTGTTATGCATGCGGTGTATTACGAGTCCCTGAGGTAGCACCACCAGCCAATGTGCGGATAGCAGCAAACATGAGGCTAGGGATCCCGGGGGCGTGGGATTGGCGAAAACGGGGCCACAAGAACCGAAAACAGATCCATCCCTCGTCGTTGTCGGGTCCGTACCTGGCTATTGGATCCGGCGCCTGAGGCCATCGCGGGCGTGGGTGGATATACAGGTCGACATGGATGGCTGTATGATGTATCCAGCTTGTATTAGCATAGCAGCAGCATAGTACGAGTCTGGCATAGCATTGCAGTAGCACCATCCCATCCAGAAAGCATACAGCTAGGTTTGATCATGGCAAGCGAGCGAGCGAGTGGCGGCGCCATTTGGGCGAATCCTGGCCTTGAGCTGAGAAAGGTGGACAGAACGAGCTGGCCTCGCTTCTCTGATGCTGCTGCTCCGGCCGCACTGCAGCACTGCAGCTGAACAGCAACTGACTAATGGCTCGAGGGCGTTTCAGGCAAAGACAAACGACGAGTCGAGCCCGTCTGCGGAGCTCCCCGGCTCGGCCAGTGGATGGAGACGGCGACTGCGGCTAGAGACGACTCGGGAAAGGCGACGCAGGGCGCATAAAGTAAAGCGAGGCAAGGCGATGCAAGACGATGCAAGACCGATGCGACACGAGACGAGACGAGACGAAGCAATTCCGAGTGCATGAATGATGGGTTGATTGCGAGAGGATGACGGCTGGGCTGGGCTTTTGCCTCAAAGACCGCGGGCCGCCTCCACGGGGGCACAGACACGGGTAGGGGCACAGCTTACGGGTGTTACCTGGAACATTGGAGCACAGCTTAGAAGAGCTCTGGGTTAGTATTAGGGACTACGTAACGAGTAGCACTGAGGCAGTTACGGAGTACAGAGTGTACATTCACGATACAACAGTGGGATTTGATGGACATGGAAGGCTGCTGGTGTGGGCGGGAGCAAGGACGGGAGGTAGGGACAGGCACGGTACAAGACGGGTGGTACCGCACCGCGCATTGCGCGCTGAATGATGAGGCAGGACAAAGTCGCGCCGAGTTGCGACAGGTAGAGGTACCGGCCTGCTGATGGAGCTGCGCCTGCCTCCCCTATGTCATCGGTCAGCTGCTCGACAGAAGCATCAAATTGATGTACTGGAGGTACCGACAATCGCAGCAATTGTACCTCCTTCCAGCACCAGCTCTCCTTTGCCTTCCACGGTACCGCAGGTACGTACGAGTTACTGTACTCGTGTGCACTCGCGACTGCCCTGCCCTGCCCTGGCCGGCTGACCTGACTTGTAGCGGCGGAAAGGGCCACTGCAGGTAGGTGCAGTGGTGCGCTACCAGCCTGCGAAAAAGGGAAACAAGGCCTGAGAAGAGGGGACGGGGAGCAGCAGGATTGGCCAGACTCGAGGCAGCAAAAGGCAACCACGGCCCGGCAAACCCAGCCCCTGCCCACACACCCATTTCCATGTTGCTATCAGTTCCATCAATTGCAGTTTGCTAGTCCAAGTGCAGCTGCCCAGGGATGAGATCAGGGATGCTGCCATTGGCCCTCACCGACGGTCTGTGACGGCGGCTACGTGCAGGCCCTCTGTTCCCTAGGCGCTGATCACTCGCCCGTCAGGCAGGGTGCCGCTAGAGCCACAGAGCCTAGCGTACGCTGCAGTGGGTGAACGCCTAAAGGCTGGCGGCGCTGCGCTGGAGCAACCCCGCCGGCAGCGATGCGGAGCTGGCTTCCGCAGCTCGGCTGCCAATGGGGTGCAGCTGTAATCTGTAATATATCACCATTGATCCATTGATGGGACGAGCCTCAGCTTGCCAGCATCAGCACCAGCCGCGGGCGCACCAACACGAGGACGGGGATGGAGTCAAGCAAAAATGTGATGTGAGTACCAGAAAGGTACTTTGACAGCCAGCTTGTACGAGTACGGAGTCACAATCAGACGTGCTGCAATGGAATAATACTAATGTCGGCTCTGAGCCAGTCCAGTCCAGCCGGCGGATGCTCAAAAAGTTGCATTTGCCTCTCTCTCTTCATGTTTTTTTTACCCCTTCTCCCTCCCTCTCCTCTTTGTCCAATCGAATCAAATCAGTCCTATATCATCTGTCTCTCTCTCCCTGCCTTGCCTTGCCTTGAACGTTGCATCTGGATCTCATCTTTTGCCGCCCGCTGCTCCGTACATACGATACGTGGACGGAGCTGTGCTTGGGAGCACTACTTGTACATGCCTTGACGCTGCTTACCTTATGTAGGTACCATCTCAGAGGCGTGCAGCCTGCGTCTGTCGTACCTCATCATCTGCATCTGCTGCGTGGGCGGGCCTCGAAAAACGCACCAAGCTCCAAGGTTTACGGACAAAGCAGCTGCGAAAAAGGCAAAACGGAACATTGGCCTTTTTATCCGCGGGCGTACCGTACGAATTCAGGATCCATAACGACGGCATCTGGCCCTTTGCGAGGCCAGAATGGCTCTCCATCAGTCAAGATTCACTTCCACACTCGTGCAGCTTCCCAATCGCGACTCTCTCTGCTGCTTTGGGGGCCGCGGATGTGTCTTGTCACCCCCAGTTCTGTCTCGTGCGTTTGCTTTTCATTAGGCAGGATAAGAATGGGTTGCTGCCAACGGGACCGCCGGGTGGCGTGACGGACGCCAATAGCGGGAACGGCTGGCCCCTATCCTGCACTTGGCCTCGTTTTCTCGTTCGTCGAGAGGAGACTCGTCGACCCAAGCAAGGCTCGCTCGGCTGGATGGAGCGGGCAGGTGGCTGACTGTCCTCGTGAATAGGAGCGGCTGAGGCGGAGGGAGCTGCGAGTTGGTGGCCAGCCGATACTCTGACAAGACGACGCTAAACAACCAACCAATCTTCTTCGCCTTCACGCCTTCGCCTGGATCAGCGCCAGAACCAATGTCATGTCGTTGCCCGACACTCTTGCAAGACAACGACGTCGTCATTGTCAAGCGCCGCTGCAAGATGACCAACGCCTTGGCTTCCATCTCCCCGTACTACTTAATTTTTTTTTTACCTTTTTCCTTTTTTGCTACCTTACCAGTACGAGCACTCGTATATCACATACGGGCCGACGACTGTAACGCAAAGCCGGGAGCGGCGCTCTGCTACCTTACCTACCTAACCTTGCCTGCTAGCTCCCTCCTTTGATGCTTACCAAGTGTGCACAAGCAGCATTATGATCACCACTAGTAAAGTCAAACCAGCACAAAGCACAACTACTACCCTCGGAGCTGCTACCAGTAATAGCTCGTGCTACCCAATTCTCGTCAGCAAAGTGTGGAGAGAAGCACAGAAGAAAGGGTAGAGGCCAAGAAAAGTGAATTTATTCCATCCGACAACCGTCCTTTCGGAAGGACTCTTGCCCCCATCACATTTGCCGCTGGCTTTAGAGAAAGAAAGCAAAAAAATGACCCCCTTAATCGTCTTCCTTCTCAAGGGATGACTGTTTATGTGCTCAGCTGCATTGATGCCATTGATCAATTCCTGTGAGCTGCAACATTGTTATCGTCAACGCTCGTTGATGATTGGCTGGCTGCCTCACCTCCCTACCTTGAGTACTAATCTACGGAGCACCATGTACAACTTCGCGACAAATGGCCCGTCTTGCATGTGATACCAGCTTCAAAGGGGGAAACATGCACAACGCAACGGGAAGCACGCACAAGGATGAGGATGCCCTGGGATGGCTACGAAGCACGCCGCGGTACGAAGTGTATTGTTCAAAACCAAAATGTTACCATTCATCTACCTGCCCCTGGGTCATCATTTTTCTCGTTACATGACGACCTAGCTGATCGCGGCGGGGCTTGCAGCGACCCAAAAGCAAAGAAAGACCAATGAGGAAAACAACTGGCGTCGCGTCGTTGTCGACAGACGCGACTTGCATGCTCACTAAGGTACGAGACAGGCATCGACACTAGTATCACTCATGCCTTGGACGTTCCGGAGCGCTCAAAGCCGACTGCCGCGACTCGAGCTGCTGCTGCCAAGAAAGTCATTTACAAGCTTCGCAAGCTCGTCGGCGTATTGGTACAGAAACCCATGTCCTGAATCCGGAAACAAATGCAGCCGTGCATCCGCGAAGCTAAGCATCTTCCATATCAGGATGCTGTTGTCGGTAGGTAGCAGCAAGTCCTCGCAACCTACAGGAGAGCGCAGGCGTATCAGCAACTGCTTCTTTTCTTGTTTTACGCAGTGGCCCGACGGATGTTCGATCCATTGGTTAGGGGGCCGCCGCTAGAATTAGATTTAGGGGGGCCAGAGAGGAAGAGGGAGGGGGGTAGAAGCAGACGCGAGAGAACTCACCATTGGCGATTAGCACCGGCAGACGCAGCTGGCCGAGCCGGTCATAACTCCCATCGGAAGCGTTTTTCTTATCCATAAACCTGACAAACGCAAGCGCCTGCTTATGAGCTGGCCCCGGAGGCACTGGTTCGCATCTCACCTCTCCGGAGTCGCTTCTACCGTTGGCGATACGCTTCCATGCTTGCTTACCCGCCTCTCGACTACGCTCAGAGCGCTGCACAAAGGAGCCTTCCTCGAAAGCTTGCTGTTCCTCCTCTACAGTCCTGGCCGCCTTCATGCGCTTGAACGCCTTGCCATCGGGCGAGGGTTTAACGCCGTCTCCGGAGCTGGGAATCGTCCCGCAGAGCACCAATCGCCGTACCTGCTCCGGCGCATTCAGAGCCATGAGCTGCGCAACGCAGCCGCCCATGGAATAGCCTAATACGTCAACCTTGCTGGCTTGGCCAAGGATTTGTTTGGTCACAGCGCTGTAATGCGCCGCCCAACCGGCAAAGGTATCGGGAACGTCGCCCTCGGATCGGCCAACGCCGGCGTTGTCAATGAGTAATACTGGACGCTGAGCGGCAAGAGGATTGACCAATGCCGGGTCCCAGTGATCCATTGTTTGTCTGTGTCGCAACAGCCGAGGCAAAGTCGACGGCATCAGCAGTGGCCATTTTCGACGACCAATTCTCATAATTACGAGACTCTGAGGAATGGGGAAATTGAAAAAAAGGTTAATCAATCGGGTGACTCACTTGAAACCCGGGATGAATAGTAGCGGGATGCCATGCGATACGCCGAGTTGTCTATAGGCAAAGGTAAGGCCGTCCACCTTGACGAATTGCGTTTTTGCCGTTTCGTAAGTAGCCATGGCCATGTCTATAGAAAGAGAGCAAGCTATAAACAGAGACTGTCAAATTGGTAAGTGCGTAAATCAAGTGCGAATTGTGTAAATGAGATGCCTCTGAAGCTCGCCGTGTAAGAAATCACGAAAGAAGAGCATCCGAAGCTCCGTTGATATCGTGGTAGTCCGGAGTAGTTATATCGAATGTTACCCCATACCTTTTACTCCGCAAGCCAAATTAACCGCTCCCGCATTTATAGTGCACTTAGCGCCGAAGTAATCCACTGTTTGTCCACCTTACGCCGAAAACATTCAAGTACTACCTATCTAGTAACAATGATTTTGCCGTTTTTTCTCAGTTGGAAAAGCAGAGAGAATTATTATATGAGACATGGTCGTCATACAATTCTCTAACTGTCCCATCTCTTTTATTTTTTTCAACGCGCCCTTTTTGAATCTCAAAGGCGAGAGAATCGTTGCAAGTGCAGTTCGTATGTCTTGGCCCGAGGTTAAAAGAAAAGTTCGGCTCGCCGAAAGTGTGGAACCCGCGGGCTAATCAGCTTTGCTCCTCTGGCTTCTAGTTTCTTGGCACTCAGCATCCTGTCCAAATAGGGACATTTGGCTGCTTGAACTTGATATAAGAAGAATAGATGTAATAGAAACAAGAAAAGGTTGTTTATAACACTGATTCTCCCGCTCTTCGATGGAGAGAGGAGATGGTTGCTTTTGTCTGGCCGAATCGTATATAGTGGGTTTTCACGTGAATAACGAGATGGCTTGCATGACTGAACTCGTGTAAATCCCAAAAGAGAGGTGGCGAGTAGACAGACCTCGAAGGATTTCTGGCAGGATGACGCGTAATAGTAAATAAATAACCTTATGATTCTAGGGCTAAACTAGTGAGACTAGCGAGCCACTGCAGGTGTACACGCGTCCATGCATACCTACTAGTAATCAAACTCTAATCCATGATAGAAAACCTCTCGGTTGGCAATCCATTTCCTTGCGGCTTCTGTCTCTTTGCTTGAATATTTGCGATTAGAAATTATATATATGTGGTTTATACCTCGTGAAATATTTTGTGTCTGATATACATGTTTCTCGTCCAGCTTACACAACCCGCATTGAATCCCATTCTCGAGTAGTTTCCAAGTGCCTTATGCCCCTTGGTAAAATGCCTCAACGCCCCAAGTGTAAAATCAATCCCAAGAGCCTCCGCCTCGTTCATTCGTTTGTTACTATTTCTAGTTGATGTGTCTCTGTTCCGCCAGCTATGTGCTTTATTCAGATGTAAAGCTGGTTGCTATCCTGTTACGACTCCTCCTTCTTGGGATTCAACCCCTTTTCGACCGTACTAGGCTCAGGTTCTTGGTTTTCAGAATCATCTGCTGGACGGTACAAACTATAGAAAAATCAAATTAGAGAATTGAAAACTAGTTTGGAATGGATTTAGACTTACTTTCTCATGCAAGAGCAAACAAGGGCAAGAGCCAGAGAAAATCCCAAAATGAAGAGAGCAAACCGTTGACCAAAGGCATGATGTCGATGGAAGCCATGGTGCTTCTTCTCCCGGCTCCAGACAGGAACAAACTTATCCTGGCCATACGACGCCATCAAATCGCCGTTGGTGTCAACAATGACAGATTTCCCCTTGTCATCAGAAGGAAAGACAGGGACCACCTCGGTATTCTGGCTCGTCTCGAGAAGCTCGAGAGTTGCGTCGAGGAAGTATTTCGTTGGCTGGTCAGTCTTGGAAACTTTCTCCCACAGAGCCTTGTCGACTCTGAAGACACGATGTTTCTTTGGATCTGACGACGAGTCTCGCTTAGATGCAGCTTGTGAGTGCTTTGTGATGGCGGCAAGGGGTGAAGAGCCATCCCTTGCTGTCGGGCCACTTAGAACTAGACCCGTGACATAGAGAATAGTCAAAAGGAGAGAAGTGGTTCTGATAGCCATGTTGATGGAGAGATGTCGATGATGTTGATGAAAAGAAAGGAAAGAAAGATTTGTGTTTCTTTTTAGACTTGTTTCTCGGGGTTTCCAGGTGGAGGCTGAATACGACGATTACGAATCAACGAGTAACCGCAGAATAGGGGACTCGTAGCATAAAGGTGAAAGAGTTGTCGAGTCTTTGATATAGTTTCTCGATCATCAAAATAAAGACTCAAGATGCAATGATATAAAAGAAAGCAATAGTTGAACAAAACTTGCCAAGCATAAACTCGACAAAACACTCGACCCAGAAAAAAGGAGCCAAGAACAGGGAGGAGAATAAAAAAGACGCCTAATAACACAAACAACTAAGCTTTTTTAAACAAGAGGGGCGAAGGAGACAAGTTTCGGAGAGGGGGCTCAGCCCATCAAAACGTTTGACGGCCAGCCAAAATTGACTGGGTCGGGGGAGGAGCAAATATGCGTGAAGTGAGAAAAATCCGCTAAGCAAGGCGCAGCAGCACGTTCGGCCATCCCTCGTTTGGCGGGCACACATACGAGCGACAAATGGCCCGTGGAGATGGGACAGCACAGCAGATTGTTTTTTTACGTGAGCAGGGGTGGTGCAGGCAAATTGCCGCATCGTTTGCGTGGACCAACAGGTGTAAAGACGATTGGGTTGATGCTATGGCAATTCACGATGAAAGGGAGAGGAGGGGAGCTTAGGTGATATTATATAAACCTGTTGTTAGTTTCGTCGCTCATTTCTACTCTGGGAAATCACGGGCAGCAATTGAAATTTGTTGATGTTGCTTACTGTGGTGTTGCTGAGGTTAGCCACCGAAGAGAGAAATACGTGTAAGTGCCTGTTGCGGGCGAGACTTGACTAGCAGACCGTGGTTCCTTTTCGTGATAGTGGGCCTGGCAAAGGCAACTCCGCTTCGGCAGGTATCCGAACAGGTAAGACCAGTAACAGAGGCCGTTCGAAAAGATAGGAATTGTGTGTGAGATTACGAGGCGGGAACGGGGAGCCGTGGGAGCCGTCACGTTGTCACGTTGCTTTGGAGACCTTTTTTCTGTTCGCATGAGATTGGACGTCCGTTCCTGTCTTAGACGGCCCCGTCCAAGGGACCACCTGAAGCAAGCCATTGGTGGCTGAAAGAGAGGATTTTTGTTCTTCAACACGGGAGAGGAGGGCTATGTATAGTAGGGTTAATGCTGTGAAGCCCGTTTGGGGTTAATAAAGAGAGAAAGAAGAATGAAAAGAACTTGATGAAAATAGGGGGGAGGAGAGGGTACGGAGTATCTAGTGCTGTAAGAAAAACAAAAGTGAGTGGCTTTGCAACTCTTGACGCCCCCATTTCCCAAAGGGCAACCCTTAACACGCGCAGATCGCCCAAGCGATTTAGTTTGAGATATACATTTCTCTTGGCATTTCGCCTCTATTTGTTACCTTCACATGGTTCCGGGTGTCAAGTGCCGAGGCTTGGCTTTCGTATTGCAATTGTGTTTATTTTAGGCATCCGCCGACATTCTAGAAGCTTTGATGATGATGATGATGAGGCTCAATCGGAGCGTTTCGTAACGGCGGCAGTTGGTGACGATGGTTAAAGGGGATCGCGATGGATTTGGCATTGAGAATCGGGCCTGGGAGGGATTAGACGGAGATTCGCTCACCTCACCCATGTTTGGCTTCGAGCTATCAAGAGTTGGACACGAATGGTTAGTATACGATACTAGTTATTCTGGTGGCTTACAACGCTCTTCCTTCAGTATCGGATACTTAATACGCTAGTACCTCTAGCCCCGCGGAGTGACGTTCAGGTTCAGCCCAGGGCACTTTTGTCCGACAACATCCAATTGAACCTTTTTGCGCCAAACAAACTTGTGTCGGATGGAAGCAAACGTCACCACCACATGAAACGCCCCAGATGCCCTCTTCAGCTCCATGCTAGCAGCCCGTCGCCAGAGTCCGCAATCACTGCTAGCAGCCGACGAAAAGCGCCGGGCTGAGGCGAAGCCCTAAAAAGGCCAGCAAAGGGCCCGAGCAGCAGCGGCAGCAGCAAGCTTCTTTCGCGATGCCCTCGCCCACCGACGACGAAACGCCCTTCCCTGCGCTGAGCCACGCCGCGGGCCTCAATCTCAATGCGCTGGACCGCTCGCACCTGTCGCCGCACGATGCCTTCACGTACCCGCTGCGACAGCCGTACGATGGCGACGGGCCGGCCGATCCGCTGTCCCATCTGAGGCACCTCAAGGACGACCGCAGCAGGAGCCGGCGCCGCAAGAGGGCGTGGAAGAAGCTCATGTGGGTGAAGCAGTCGTGTAAGTTTATTTCTGTCTGCCTATCAAGTTGGCATCGTTTATGCTTCTCAGGTAGACTGGGGCTAACAGGCAGATTTCTCTCTTCCCCCTTTCTCTAGATCCGGACAACTATACCGATCAGGCGACGTTTCTCGAGAACCTGCAGCGAAACCCTCGGCTCAAGCCCTACGACTTCTGGCCGCTGGTGGCCGACTCCACGGTGATTCTGCAGCACGTTTGCTCCGTCATCCTCTTCATCGTCTGCTTCGTGGGCATCTTCCAGGAGCGAGTCTCGCCCGTGTCCCTCGTCAGCGGGAGCAGCTTCGCCACTTTTCTGGGCTGGATCCTCTGGGAGCGATGGGTCTCGGAGGAGGAGGACAAGGAGGACGAAGTGACCGCGGGCGGCGTCGCTGCCTCTGCGACCAAGACGGAGAGCATACGACGACGAGCCCGCGCGGCTAGCATTCGTCGACCGATCATTACGCCACGTTCCATTTCTACCACGTCGAGCCGTCCGACGTCGGAATCTTCTTCTTCGCGTCCGTCTGCGGGAAACTCGACCATTAATATCAAAGTGCAGATCCCAGATAATGAGCAGATACGGGCAACCATCATTCCGTCTCCCTCTTCCACCACCTCTCCGACCTCGCCCACATCACCGCTGTCACTAGGGGGAACTTCTCGGCACGGCATCAGTGCCGATGGCCAACCATTACTGCGTAGGGCTAGCTCGGACGTGATGCCCGACTCTCCAATAATACCAAACGAGGCAAACCGCCTACACCAGCGCCTCGGCACAATTAAATCAGCTTTGCTAATCTACTGCACGCTCCTCGGGCTCAGCCCCATTCTTAAATCTCTCACCCAGTCCACCTCGAGCGACAGCATCTGGGCCATGTCTCTCTGGCTACTGGCCATCAACATCTTCTTCTTTGACTACTCAGGCGGCGTCGGGACCAAATTCCCTGCGTCGCTGTCCACAAATGCAGCCCTAATGGCCTCGACGGTGCTAGCAAGCCGCCTACCTTCTACCAAGCAGGTATTTTGCCTGACGCTTTTCAGTATCGAAGTGTTTGGTCTGTTTCCTGTATTTCGACGATATGTTCAGCACCGCAGCTTCAGGCAGCATGTGATTCTGACCGGGCTGCTGATTCTCGGGGCGGGATGGGGCGTGGGAGTCGTGATAGCCGAGCAGAAGCCTGACTGTTGGCCGTGGAAGCGCGGCATCGGAGGCATGGTGGTGTCTGTCCTTATTGCTGGTATAGCGACGGGTGGGTGCAGCTGGTGGCTGATTGGGCTGCAGAGGTATAAGAACGAGATTCGGGGGCCTTGGGACCCTGCGAGACCTATTATTATGAGCCGGCAGCGTTGGGATGATGATCGGTGATTTGATGTAGAGGATGATGTATTGGTTCTACTAGGAGTAATTTATGGGATTTATAGAGCTCCGTATAGAATATAGTGGCTGGTCATAGTAGGCATGGCATGACATGACATGACTGAATACTACTCTCGTCTAGTGCTGAATGTTTTGTTCGCCCTAAACCGCTGGCATATCAATAGATGGCGGTGGAAATACTTGAGGGAAGCGATTTGAACCAGTATATCCCACAATCGGGCATTGTTAGCTAATAGGCGCCAACTAGGACAATCATGAATGTTTAGGCTGAATATGTTTGGTCATCATACACGCTTGTTGTTTCTCTAGCATGCTATATCTACTGATTTCCCCTATTCATTAGTATATGGACAATCACACGTTTAGTCATCCCATCTCACAGATATTCAGCAGAGAGTGCCATTTACACGACAAAGCTTCTACAACAAAACTTGCCTGAACAGCGCATTCCACAACATCAAATACTATTGCCAAATTAGTACCGCCAAGCCGTCGGCCCGTCTCGTCCCAGCGAAAACGGCTGGATTCAAACAGACCCCCGCAAAGTGCATGCGTGCGTGTGTGTGTGTTTGTGTCAGTTCCATCTTTATACGAGGTTGCATTGACGGCGCGACCATTCAGCTCGGTGTGGCTGTGTGTGCTGGCTACTTTTTGTAACAAGCATATTATACAGGCATGGCGGCTATCGGCGAATTAGTGGGAGTTTCTAAAGTCTATGGTTTATATTTAAACATGTCAATTTGATTTGTGCTGCGAGCAAATCTCCGAAGTGGGATATGTTTGTTTTGTCGAGTCGTACGAGGAGTGGCGTTGCTGATATTTGAGAGGACATTGGAGACCCGAATACGCGGGCGAGAGGATCAAGGGGAGATGGATGGTACCGTAGCCGTAATCGTGCAGGCAGAGAGAGGGAAGAAGAAGAAGAACAAGAACAAGAGGTTAATGTGTCTCGGAACAGATATTTTGAGTCCAAATGTGCGACAAGCTGGTGATGTGCACTATTTTATTGATACGAATTTGTATCAAGTTTTAGGGGTCCATTGTGTGTGATGCTACGTACATGTACAGAGACGAACCGACAAGTGCTCGAATGAGTCGAGACGAGACAGGGCAGTACTGTAATAGACATAATGTACGAATACTATACTCTGCACAGCTTGATGAAAGAGACAATCTGCTAACATACATGGTCTTTTCTGTTGCCATCTGCAGTACTAGTAGTTGATACCTTAGTACCTTAGGACATCAGTGACTGACACCAACAGACGGAGAACACACGTAAACTCATCACGTCACGTCAAGTCATGTCCATCAAGGTAGTGTCTCCTCCCCCCAGTCCCTCTGCTGACAACTTACATAAGGTAACAAATAGTACACAACAAAAGCCAAGCCTAGTGCTCGACTCGACTTCTGATACTTTCCTGTGGACCGCGTTACACAATCTGTCAGTGGCGGCGACTGCAAGGGGGAGCGAACAGACCAAAAAGTCATCCACCGCCTCAAACATCAAACAAAACACGTCTCCACACCAGCTGTCAGTCTCGGCCTTGTTCCCCGTCTGGCTGAGACGCGGCAGAATCCGAAATGACGGGAGACGGACAGTATGGCGATGGTCCGGTGTGCGTTGCTTGCTCAAGCTTCCATTTATTATCCATGTATGCAGCTGTCAAGAAATATATCAGGTACCAAGACAGGCGCATACATGCACTGCACACTAATATACAATCTGTCCACACATAGACAAGCAGACATGTAGACACCTTCAAATCCCACCTCGTATAAAACCCCCCAAGAAAAAAAAACCGAAACACCTCTTGACCTCCTTCAAGGGTTCCAGCCTACTCTGGCTTAGCACGCTTCCCTTCTGGGGTCCTCCACAACACAAGCCCATGCAAAAAAAAAGGGCATAATCAGCAAATAGCTGCAAAGACTAGCACGATGTACCTTGCAGGTGGCGCCGTTGTCCAAACCCCCGCCACTTGCGCCCAGCTACACGATCCAATCAGCGACGGCCTCTCTCGCAAGCTGCTTTTTTCTCTTTGTTGCGCGGCGGGATTTTGACTCGTTGGGCCCTGTGGCGGGATTTCGTGATGCTTTTTTGCCATTGGAGGTATCCAACTAGGCTGCGTTGGTTCCTTTTGGGGGGGCACATCAAAGCAACGCCCGAGTACGAGGACAGGCATGGCAGCACTAACGCATCGAGGCAGTCCAGTCCAGTGGGTTTATAGCAGCTGCTACAGTACACTGGAGCTCTCTCACGGCTGAATATCAATCACCTGGAGGGCCCTGCATCCCGCTAGACAGGCCGTGCGTTCTGGGGGAGCTGCCAGCACTTTCTGCTCGCTTCGCTTCCCCGGGTTCCTCCTCCCCTGCGAACAAAAAATCCTACCTCTCTCCTCGTACTAGCCAGAGCTGGGTGGACTGATAAAAAGAGGCCTTCCTTCCCACCGACTACGCCTTCACCTCTCTTTTCCCCCTCCTGTTTTTTTCCCTCGCTGGTTTTTTGATACCTCTCCTGAGCTCCTCCATCTTTTGCTCTTGAAAGACCTTCACTCGCTTTCTTGCACACAGAAAACAGAAAAAGACAAACACGCTCACGATGAAGGCCTCCGTTATCGCCCTCCTCCTCACCGGCCTGGTTGCCGCCCAGGACTTCACCGGTCAGCCTGATTGCGCTGTAAGTTGAATCTCAGACGAGATGGACACAAGCTCGGCAGACAAACTCTTGGTCCAGCACTAACACACGCGTGTAGATCGACTGCCTCAAGGAGGCCATCCCCAAGGCCGGCTGCGCCCTCACAGACACCGCCTGCCAGTGCCAGGTCGACACCCAGGCCAAGCTCGTCGGCCTCGCTGCCCCCTGCCTCATCAGCAAGTGCAGTCCCAGCGACCTCGCAAAGGCTCAATCTGCTGCTGCCGCTGCCTGCAAGAAGGACACCAGCGGCTCTTCTTCCTCCTCCTCTTCTGAAGCCTCTTCTCACACCTCCGCCTCTGAGTCTTCGAGCGAGACCACTGCCGCTGGCTCTACCACCGAGTCCACCACCGACGCTGGCAGCACCACCGATGCCGGCACTACCACCACTGGCCCTGCTTCCACCTCTGCCACCGAGACTACCGCTTCAGAGACCTCTGGCTCTTCCTCTTCGTCTCATGCCACTTCGGCCGGCCACACCAGCCCGACCTCTCCTCCCGGCGGTGTCTCCAACAGCACCACCTCCGGTGTTCGCTCTGTCGTCACCCGCACTTCTACCGCCTTTGTTGACGGCGGCTCTGGCGGCTCCCAGACTTCTGGCGCTCCTGCCTCCACCACCCTCGCCGGCAGCGATGCTTCTGCCCCTGCGGCTGGCATTCTCGGCGCCGTCCTGGCTGCTCTGATGGCTCTGTAAACGCAATGGTTATCATATTCATCGTTAATAGTTGTCGAGGCATTGGGCTAGCATGTAATCATGATGTGACGAGTTTATAATATGAAGTGGCGTGGACATTCAAAACGGCCTTTCTTTTTCTTGGGACCATGATTGACTCATCTGGTCAAGGAGTTACTTTTTGAGTTTTGTTTTTGTAATGCAGATTCTGACTGAGCGCTTGTTTAATACCACAACGCAATAATATGAAGGCTGATATATTAAGGTACCATTTTCTTTGATGGCATTATTCGTATCTATTTTGATGTCTGAGCTCGTGAAGGGGATTGTATTGTCTTATTTGTGGAAAAAAAAATCGTTATGGCGTCCAATTGAAAGTGAGATGTAATGTATGTGGAATTTCATTGTATCTCTCTCATCATTCTCTTTCATCATGTGTTTATCATATGTGTTTCTCTGAGACTTGAATTGAAGTTTTCGTCACAGATTTACGCTGTTGTCCTCGGCAAGTCGATGTCTATCACCCAGGGCATCTGTGATGGACGGTACCGGATACTCATAATCGAAGCGTTCACAAAGAGCGTCTCCTCTCCCTGCTTGAGCATATTCTCTCCCTCTGTGAGGTCAAGGTAGCAGCCTCGGTCCTTGCTTAGCTCCAAGAGGTTCTGATCCTCCCTGCCAACCACCGAGTCGTTTGTGGGGATGGATATAGGGGGTGGCGTGAGGGTATAAATGAGGCGCGAGTTCTCCCAGTCGGCAGCGGTCGCGGGCGAGATGATTGGTTGTGAGCCGGCAGTTTGCTGCTGTTGAGCGTCGTCCTCCTTGAACCTAGGAATGTCGGCGTCGGCCTTCCATCGGATGAGGTGAGCGCCCCATGCTTCATGGATATGGCCGAAGCAGTGGATTTTGGGCTTTGCGCGGTGTATGGACCGGAAGAGGTTTCCGCAGCCGGCGTTATTGTTCACACGCGTCTGGTCGAGGATGCCCAGGGGAGGGCCGTGGGTCATGGCGATGTCGACGTCAGCCGGGATGTCAAAGTTGTGCTCGCCTGCTTCGTACTGAAATGCCCAGTAGCCGTATGCCGGCGTGTTTGGACTTGCAAAGATGCGCAGCCGTGATCCATTGGCGAGATCAAAGTCATACGTCCCCTCGGTGAGATATTTGACACCGTCCACTTCAGCTTCCTTAATGATCTGATTCACCTCTTCATGCTCCAACTCTTCGCCGCCATAGCGCTCCTCGTAAAATATCTTATCAAGCATCAAGTCGTGGTTTCCCGCAATGACGAGCTTCAGAGGCGCGCGTAGTTTTCTCAGCATGGAAAAGGTTTTGCGGATCTCCTCGGGCTGCCCACGCTTGGTCAGATCGCCGCAGTGAAGCACGACGTCTGCCTCCGGAAGCGGGAATCTGAAGCCAGAGGGAGCATAGAGCTTGCCTCTCGGGGTTTCGAGCTCATCCTCGGTGTTGATGGGATTATCTTCCTTGGTTTGTGGAACGGAGCTGTGGGTGTCTGATATGATGAGGATGCGAGTTTTGATGGTGGCCGAGGAGGGAGAGGAGGGAGGAGACAAGGGAGGAATCGGCATCTTAGTAGAAGAGACGTCGTTTAGAATTGCGGTGTTGTATGATGATAATGGTGATGAAGGTTCTGGATTCTCTGAAGAGGATGTATTTGTAGGCGTTGGTGATGACAAAGTGGAAGTGGAAGTGGAAGCCTTGTTGTTGTGTTGTTGATGCCTGCTGGTTGGCTTATAAGTGCAGCTGATGTTTCTCCGCGGTAGGCTCCAGGCAGCATGTGAGGGCCGGAACCAACGGCTCAGAAGCATTGGCTCATTGGAGAGGCTTTTCTACAGCATCAGGATTGCACCAATTGGCTCGTGTGTTGAATTACAAAAGATGCAAACTTTGACAGAGACAAGAGAGTGAAAAAATACGGTGAGTTTCTTAAATTGGTTAAAATCATATGAGAAGGAGGTTGATGTAGCTCATGAGGTCAGCGCCGGAGAGTGTGGGGGATTAGTGGAACCCCCGTGCTTCTTATCTTCTAGAGCCTCTGGGCACAAGGTACACACTTTTGGTGCTACAATACATTGAACTTCATCAAAGGTCCCGTCGCGATTCAGCCTCTGATTTGAGATCCCGCTCGACCGCGCATTTGCATCACCGCCAGAACTTCTAAAGGGATTATTCGGATTGCCAAGGACCGCAACAACCACAATGGCTTCAGAGGCGCCTCAGGACGTCTCCATGAGCTCTACCCCAGCTGTTCCTCCTGCTGCAGACCAAGACCAAGAGCCCAAGTACGGCGGCTATTCGCGCTTCGAGATTGAGCTCGAGGTAAGCCATCACGACTCCCATCGTTCCACGCTTCCCCTCTCAAAAGCTCTACTGACCCCTGAAACCCTGTAGTTTGTCCAGTCACTCGCCAATCCCTACTATCTCAACCACCTCGCGTCGCAGAAGCTCCTCACCCAGCCCGCCTTCATCGCCTACCTAGACTATCTCCAGTATTGGTCCAAGCCGCCGTACCTCAAATACCTGACATACCCCGGGCCGACGCTGCGCCACCTGCAGCTTCTGCAGCAAGAGAGATTCAGGCAGGACATCATGAGCCCGGACTTGGTCCAGCGGCTGGTTGAGGACGAGATGAAGGCGTCGGTGCAGTGGCATCGCGAGCCTTGACAAGGGCGTACGAATTACGATTGAAGACGTGGGCGTGGAGAGCAAAGCTTCAATCCATACGCTTTATTTTAACGATGCACACGAATAACATTACGAATCAGCAAGCATGAGCAAACAAAAAATATCGAAATTGTCGAAGGAAACCGCTTTTCAATGTCTATTTTATGCGAAACCAGCGGCTGAAATATGCCAAATATACTCCATACGGATCCATATCCCCACTCCCAAACGCCAAATATTTCAAAAAAAAAAAAGAAAGAAAGAGAAGATTATCACAACCAGCAATCAGTTCTCGCGCCATCGGTGACCGCACGTCATGCACTTGAAGAAACTCGTCATGGGCTCATCGGCACTTCGAATCTGCACCTGGAAAAAGGCCGCCTCCTCGCCGGTGCATCCCTCGTTGGGGCACTGCGCCTTTGACTTTTGCGCATTGTCCCAGGCTCCCGGGCCGCCAAAGACGTCCTCCCTCTCCTTGCGCTCAAAGACGCGGCGGGAGAAGACCGGGTCGGTGATGGCGTGCTCGTACGGGCATGTGCGGCACTCGAGTCGGTTTGTGCGGTTGAGCGTCAGGGAGACGGTCAGGATGTTTGCGCAGTGTGGGCAGACTGGGGGTTTTGGTTAGATGTCGGGACGTCAGACGATATGGAATCATTTTTTTATGCTTACAGAGAAGCATGGCTGCTGTGGTATATGTAACCCCCCAGGTCGGGATAGAAGGGTTTAAGGGATAGATGCGGATTTAGAGATAATAACAGCAGGAAGTGATGCGATTCCTTGAAGATAAGTGATATGCAGCCTCAGATTATGCCGTTGTATGTAGTCGTGGAAGAAGAAAAAATGACTGCTTGAAGCTCGGCATCCCAAAAGTCAAAAAGTCGATGAGCCAAACAATTCCATGGTGGGGTCCGTCGACGGGCTTGTCAGCAAAAAGGAACCAGACCCGACGCTCAACGTCCAGTCCCTCCAAAGGACTGGACGCCCTGTAACCAGCTTGCTACAGTACAACAGCGCTAACCGACCCCGCTAAGCCTCCCCCTTGCCCCCCCTAGCTTCAGCGCAGACCAGTGCTGCGAACCCCTCCACCGGCCCCCGGGCGCTTTTCCCGCCTATCACCGCTACTTGTCCATCCATATCGCTATCGAGACTTGCTTCGCCTCGTCCATTATTCCTCTCCCACCTTGTTTCCTGGGAGGGTTTCTCTTCTTCTTCTGTTCTTGAAATTCCTCCTTCCAGCGTCCCCTTTGTTCCGCGCGTTTCCAGCCTGACCGACCATCTATTATATTCACTTTACCGTCAAGAAAATAAAACAAAAACTCCCGAACAAAGACAATCATGAGTGGCGAGGAGCACGAGGTGCGTCACATCCAATTTACCACGCATTTACAGCAAAACCACAAAAACAGAACCCTATACACACACGCGCGCGCGCATATACATATCGAACCTAAAGAATTCAAAAAAGACAAACTCTTGGCTAATACTTTCTTTCTTTTCTCACAGGGCGCCTCCATCGAGGAGCAGCTCATCGAAGCCTGCCGGCGCGACAACGTCGAGCTCCTGACCGAACTCCTCGAAGACAAGTCCGACCCCGAAATCTCCAAGCTGCTCAACGAAACCACAACCGTCATGGGCAACCACCTCTACCACGAGGCTGCCTCCCGCGGTAACTGTACGAAAAACAAACTGTCCCTCTATCTCCCCCCTCCCGTCGTGCTCCCCCCAATTCCGCACAAGTAAACTAAAACATACTCCTCGCTTCACAGACGACATCATCGACCACCTCCTCGACCAGCCCGACTTCGAATGCGACCCCATCAACCGCCTCGAGGGCGACACCCCCCTGCACTCCGCCGTCCGCTGGCTCAACGCCGAACCCCCCGCCCAGCGCCCCTTCGGCCACCACCTCATCGACATGATGCTCGAGGCCGGCTCCAACCCGCGCATCAAGAATAAAGGCGGCCTCACCGCCCTCCAGCTCGTCGACCCCCGCAACCAAGAACTCCGCGACCTCATCCAGCGCCACGAGTACGCCAATCAGAACGCGGGCGACTTCGTCAACGTGAGTGCGCCCCCGAGCGCGCCCCCGCCGGGCAGGCCCGCCGACGCTGCCCCGGGGCTCCCGGTCAATGGTGTGGCCGAGAGCGATGACGACGATGATGCCGAGTTCAGCGGCAGTGACGAGGAGGAGAGAGCCGAGTGGGAGCGCAGGAGAAAGAACAAGGGCAAGCGGTAGACACAACGAGGCAAAGAGAACAACAATTCTTAAAGCCAGTCCTGAGCTACAAGGGAAGATAGAACGCACAATGGCCGGCCCATGAGTCTGGGGAGGAAATGGTAGAGATATACTAGCCGAGCAACTTGATTGATTCGAGGCAGGCGTTGGAGGCTTTACCATATCATTTACTACAAAGGAGGAAGAAGCCATGTTGGAATACATGTTGTCACAAATGAGACGAGAGATACGCACATTGGAGTGACAAGATTCGCACTCTTATACACATCATCATAACAAGAAAAGAAACAAACAAACAAAGCACTTCAAGATAGACCACTCAACTACAGCTATCCATCCATTGTGACTTGGTTAAAGGGGATTTGAAGTAGGTAGTAGCCATGATTTTTAGGTACTATAGGGGAGAAATGAGGAATACACAAGAGTATGTCTCACCTCAGCCAATCCTGTATCCATCATCGCTGTTTTAGCACTCTTAGAGTATTGCCCAGGTACAAGCAACAGCGACGCAGATCATCAGCATGATTGCCCATGGCCTCACAACGCCCGCAGACCCACGTTCTTCCATGATATATGTTGCATTTCGAAGCCTCTTGAGAGTGTGTGGCGACAATTTACCACCGCTTGCCAACTCAAACATTTCTGAGCCCAGCTTGCGGAGAATATCAGTCGATCGGCCTTCGGGACACATGACGACCTCCCAGCCGCCGCCCTTGGGGATGATAAAGGTTGATTGCTGATCATCGTAGGCAAAGCTATAGGCGTCCGGGCATACGGCCTTGACTGACTTGCTGTACTGCGACGGCTTGCAGATGTGGGGATCATGATACTTGCCGATGCAGCAGTCCTTGTCTGTTCCAGTGGCTGCGCAGGCACTGTTGCACGGAGCAAAGGCAGGCCGCTCAACGTTGTCGTCAGGATAGGGGTAGATGCCGTTTCCAGGATGAGTTGGAGGAAAGGCAAGATTTAGCCACGGACACTATGCGCTTACACTCTCGTTCGTCTCTTCCGACTCTAGGGGAATCGGATATGTCACATTGGAGTAAAAGGTGCCATTGCCTGCTGGCGAGTATACCCAGCCCGTGGTGGCTATGCATGCGCAGTTTGTGAGGTTCGGGGGAATGAAGGTGGTGTTCTTGGCTGGGATGTAGTTGATCCCCATGGGTATGTTGTATCCGTCGACGAGAGAAATGTCGTAAAACGTTTGCAAGTTGTCAACTCCACCAGCCAGGTTGAATTCTGCCAGTGTTGCAGGAGTAGCTCCCTACGTGCACATCTCATTAGAACTCGATTTCATGATAGGTTGCAACTCCATGATTTCAGGGTGTCACATACACTGAATTCATAGTCCATCTTTGCGAAGCAGTCTCCCGTCTTGCAGGCGCATGAATCTCCGTTGACAGTGCAGTTTGTCCGGCCCCATACTCGACCTTGCCAATCAGGACCTACCCATAGCTTCCTTGTTTTGTTGGCTGCCAGCTCGAATCCTCCAATTCCAGGCCCTGTTCCGGACTGCGTTGCAACGCCAGGCCATATTGTCGAGTCACACTTGTTCGTCACCACCAAGGGGATTCTCTCATCCTTCTCACCGGGAGGGCCTTGTTTTTTGGCGATTGGTGGTTTGTCCAAAGCATGGCTAAAGAACGCCGCTTGCCAGTTGTGATTCATAGATGAATCTTTTGCTGCCTGAACAACAGGCAATAGTAACAGAACATTTGTCAACGAAAGGATCGTTTGTCTATTCCTTGAGTGTCTATAGTCCGTAATCCGATTCCAATTATTTGTTGTATGCGGCATGGTTTTTTGGATGATGTGGCTTCGAATACAAACGTTCGTATCTCCTAGAATACGTGCAGCGGGTTACAGCCGTATATCTGATCAGATGCGGGATCAATATATTCGAAAGAACAAGCCTGATATTCCGCTTATGAGGAGTATATGGCAGAAAGACAAAGATGGCAAGAGTTGACAAAGCTGGAGCTTTCTTTCCGAATCACTCGATTACCAACTCCAGAAGAATCGCAGTAGACACTCCTTAGAGACGGATGGCGAGCACGCTGTAGCCTGCAATCTTGCTGTTGTTGAAAATAAGGGCCAAGCGGTGGCTAAAAGGAGGCAATAGATCGAAGCGAAGAATGCACTGATAATCGACGATGTGGGCCTCAGGGTTCCTGGAGGTTCGTGAGGTGGTAAAAAATGCCGACAACCAACACGCTGCGGCTCGATGCTGTGATGTTGGCAATATCTCTCAAAAGCAGGAAAGGATAAAAGAGTATTAGAGAAGAAGAAAAGAGAAAAGAACCCAGGAACGTAGAGGAGGATCACAAGATGAACGACTGCCAAGCAACTTGACAGCAAAGGGAATAGTTGATATCGATAGTAATACTGATGATAATGAAAGGAAGAAGAGAAGGGGGAAAAGAGAGAGTTCCAAGGGTTGGCCAGCAAAAGGTACATCTTTCAGGTTGCCTCCTTCCTTTCGATTATTCCACTATGAGAGAAGGGTTGGTGTTGGTTCTGCGAAAAGGCAAGTGCGGCTAGGGCTTCTCTTTGTGGCATTTCTACTCACTATATGAAATCTCACTTGACAAGATTGAATGACACACTGTTGTGGACTAACATGTTCTTTGATCTAGCCGCACTCGACTATCTATTAATGACATTGCCAATCATAATCTTCTTTCGTTTCATTCATCATCCTCCCCATTCAGCAAGCAAGAGTGGCTGTCGAATCATGCTCTCCTCTAGGCTTGTTTATGTTCAAATCCAACATCAATAAAAAAACGTGTTGCTGAAATAGCAAACAAAGAATCCATGTCTCTCTCCCCTAGCTTTTCTTTCAGCGCCCCGCCGGCTATCTAGATAGCGCTGGGCCTTGTATATCTTCCTCATCTTGGCCGCGTCCCCTGATAGGTATCATGTGTGTATATATCTTTGACTTCAAGGCCTGCTAGCTGTCTTGTCTTCATCAAAGCTCCAAATGTGTAACGAGGTATGTACTGGTAAAGTTTCCTCATCTAGTCCCTCATTGTTTACCTGAATCGGGCTCGGCAGCGGCCCATGACTTCGCCTTGGCACACGAGCTCCGCGCTAAACTCTGAGCCGTCCAGAGTCAGGTAAATGTCAAAGTACACTCTGTAAAAGGTACCCTGGGGGGTATCCATTCGCTCAAAGTCCTTTTCGAGGTTCTTGCGAGACAGGTCGGATGTGAGAGTAACAACTTCCTTGATGCCTAGAGAAATAAGCGTGTTAGTGTCGCTCATGATATAGAGGGGAAGTGATGAGGATAATATAAAGGGAGGAAACTTACGAGGATCCTTTGTATACTCGGGGCAGACGTCGTCGTCACAGGCGTACAAAACATCTTCGTACATGAGGGTGGCTCCGGGAGCGACCTGTCTGAAGAAGGAGACCTTGTAGGGCTCGCCGTTCTTGACCTTCTGGCCCTTGTGCACAAAGATTTGTCTGGTGAACTTGCATCGGTCCTTTCCATCAAGAGACGGCACTCGGTAGGCCTCGGGGTGGTAGCCCTCCTTGAATGGCTGCAGCGTGGCCATGAGATAGTGGCGACGAGCAATACGGTGAGTAATGACACGCTCCGTAATACCGGCAGTGACTGCGCCCTTGACAATGGCGGCCACGGAGTCCATGGGTCGGACAACCTTGGACTGGAACTGAGGAGGGACATGCAGCTTAATCTGCTGGAACAGGTACTCGGAGGCACCAAATCCACCGACAACCAGGATGTTTTGCAGTGTCCGGTTTTGGGCCTGGATGGCAATGATCTGGTTTCGCACCAGTTCCAAGATTCTGTTGACAACGGGCTCAAAGCACTGCAGAATTTCCTCGTTGGTAAAGGTCATGTAGCCTTCCTCAATGCCAGCCTCGGGGAACTCAGCCTCGATACCGACATCAACAGCCCACTTCTGGCCATTGTTTCGGAAATCGGCCTTGATTCGGTTCTCAAAGTCCATGATACACTTGGCGTAGACACGGCCGGCTGTCTTGGATCCATCCGGAAGCTTCATCTTTCGAATCTTGGTCCGCAAGATGTTGCTAAAGTTGCGGTTCAGAGCGGTAGAGCCACAGGAGTCACCCGATCCAGCGGTACACTCAGCGACTGTGAAAGGATTCTCGTCCTCGACTTCGTACGCGATCAAATCGACAGTACCTCCACCACAATCAACAATCAGGACGGCATCGTGAACCTTGAGGTTGAGCAGACCCGTCTTGGAACAGAACAGAGCTGCGGCTTCCGGTTCAGAAACGAGAGTCAGGCGGTTATCGTTTTCGTCGCGAAGGAAGCCAGCTTGAATGGCTGCAGCTCGGGTGGCAGCCTTGCCAGCGTCGTTCCAAATAGCCGGCACGGTAAGATAGTATCGAATGTTGCGCTCTTCTCTGTTAAACACCTCTCCGAGAGTCTTTTGCAGCGATGATCGCATGGCTTGGCGGAGCTTGAAGAGGTAGTCGGCAGCGACATCGATTTCGGACTTTCCCGGAGGCAGAGGAGGCAGGTTGATGGGGTCAATATATGTGTTGCCGCTCAGCATCAGCTGCAGCTTGAACCACTCAACCTTTTGCACTCCTGGCTTGGGGTAACCAGTGGGAGCCAGAGCATCGGCGATATCTGGACCCCAGCCAACCACCTTTTGGTACTGATCGTAGTAGAGCACGGTGGGGATCTGCTTGTGCGTCAGTTGCAACGCTCTTGTAGAATCTAGAAGGGCGCAGCACTCCTCACCTTTTGCTTGGTGTATGAACCGGCGCCCGGCCATTCTGTGATGATGTCTTCCTTGGCCTCGTTGTTGGTTGCAAAGGCAAAGGCAACACCAGAGAAGGTTGTACCCTATGGAAACGTCTTGTTAGCAAACACATTCTTGCGCTTCTTCCCTGTTTTGTATTCTTTCTCTCTCTCTCTCTCTTGCTTGTTTCTTGCTTCCAGCCTCCTGCCTCTTGCTCTGCCGAGCAGCACAGGCTTGTAGAATTGGAGAATCGGGGTTACTAACAAAATCGATGCCAACAATGAGCTGGGCCTTGCTTCTGCTCGCGCCCTCGACCTCGGCCGCCGGGTTGTTCTGCTGAAACTGCTGCGCGATGGGACCTCCCGCGGGGGGTGGTCCAGGAGGGTATCCGGTGGGCTGGCCGAAACCGGGAGCACCTGGAGGAGGGCCGCCCTGAGGCATGCCAGGAGGCATCTGGCCCAAGGGATTCATGTTGGGCGGGTAGCCGACGGGAGCGCCTGTGTTGATGGGCGGAGGGCCTCCAGTCATCTGCGATGGCGGGGTGCGGTTCTGGCCTGGAGCCATGGGGCTGGTGCGGCCCATGGCGCCCTGAGGCGGTTGGGGATAGGTGCCAGCCGTGTAGCTGGGCGGGCGGGCGCCCGGGCCTTGGTGATTCATTGGGCTGGCGGACGAGCCTGGAGGAGGCGGCGTCTGGGGATGCGGCTGCGGGAGCGTCTGCGGCGGGAACTGAGGTTGAAGCTGATGCTGTTGAGGTATTTGGCCTGGAGGAGGGGTACCGGTGCTGGTGGGGGGGACGCCCTGGACGCTGTGAATGCTGGCGGTGGATTTGCGTTTGCCGAGACCAAGGCTCTTGAAGCGGGAGTTCAGAGAACTCATATGGAGAGGGAAAAGAAGGGCAACTCGGGAAGGGGAAATAAGAAGAGGAGTGGAGGGGAGAAGAAGGGCTGATGGGGGACGAAGGCGCAGGGTGCAGGTGCTTTGCCGGGGCGAGAGGATTGGGCTTAGGCTTCAAAGGTTAGGTCGGGTCTGGCAAAATCAGGTCCAGTCTGCGAAGTGTCTGCTGGTGTCGGTTTTAGTGTCTGGCGCGCGCAGAGAGTCCTAAGAGAGGAATCTTTCAGCGGTTAATGCAGGGCCTGAGGTGTGGGAAACGGACTGGATGGAGCAGAGGAGGAGGGAAAATGCAGGACGCACAATTGGTCTGGTCTGGCTCAGTTTGATTTGATTTGATTTGATCGGTCCCTACCAGGGCATGCACAGTACCAAGTTGAGGTGACAAAGCCAACAGCAGCCAGGACTGCACAGGACAACCGAAGGCAGGACTTGCGCTAGCCCTCGCTCGTACGAGTATGTACCTCGTTGCTTACCGTGCTTGTACTCGTAAATCAGTTCGGTTCTCTCTCTCCCCCACGCCCCCCAGGGCTGGCTTGGCTGGGATAGGGCCAAGCCGACCTGGCAGTCAGAATTTAGCAGCACGGCCAAGGGTGCAGTTTGGCTGTGCAGCGAGCTCTCGCACCAAAAGCGGCCATCAGATTGAATGATTAGCTATGATTATTGCCGTTTGCTGTGCAGGGCTGAGCCGCAGCTCGAGAAAGCCTCGGGGCTGGCGATGTGCCTTGCGCAGCACCCTAGTAAGAACCACACAGTCTGACATTGACACTGACATTCGATGACAGCACATGGCATCAAAATCAAAACCGTCTTGACGACTGCCGAACGTGCTCCGTATCAGATGCCACTTTGCAATTCCAATCTGCAAGGTATCCCTTCATCTACCGCACCCTTTACACCTCTACCTCATGTCAAAGCGCAGGTTGGAATCAACAAGTCACAAGCACTTCGTATCAAGACGAAATCGCCCGCGTCCTTGACGTCAAGGCGCCTCTCCCCATAGTATATGCACTCCGTATTGCGTGGACGTTTGTGCAACTGCACGCGCTAGCTTTGCTCATTCTGGGGCCCACGAAAGGCTAACATGATTGAGTTGATTCCATCCCGTGCCTCCCCGTGCCCTGTTCCCGTCTTTCTTTCTCTCCTCTTTTGCTCTGCTATCTTTACCGTCTTTGTTGCTCCTCTACGGATGCCAAACAAACTCATTTCCATCCCTACATGCAGCTCTTGGAGCTATGGATGTTCAGCCAAGAGAGCGCACCCGTGTAAGAGCCAGGGTGCCCCCATCCAGGGCCTCTCATAGGCCTACCTCGTACCTGTAGGCTGTAGGCTACATCTGCTGGCCGTGCGGCTGAGAAACTCGGACAGCGATCAGCAGCAGCAGTAACACGAATATTGGATCGGGCAGCTCTTTGTGCCAATGGCACGGTTCAGTGGCGGGGCTAATGGCGAGCTTGCCATCTACTAGCGATGCAGTCAAAGATAGGCCAGATCTAGAATAGAATCAATGCAAAAGCATTGAACGGGATGGCTTCTTCATCTTCCTCTCTCTCACTCTCTCTGCTCTGCTCAGCGTGACAAATCCAATACTGTACAGTACAGTATCTGTACAACAAAAGTCGCCGCGTCTAGCTAATCTCATAAATGGCACGACACGTCCGAGTATGTAATAAGTGTGTGGACAAAGTGGGCTTTGCCAACCCAACTTCTCGTACTCTCGCATGCACTCCGTCCTTTGGTACTGCCACAGCCATTGCCATTTGTGGAGGCGTTGATCGTGGCGGGGCGAAGCCACTCGCAAATCGACCACAAGCGTCAAGCAAAAAGATTCCCGTCGTTCTTTGTTTCCAAATGACCCGAAGAGACAAGATACATGTACATGCCGTATTCCAACATCTCGCCTCTAGCTGCTGCAAACTCAACCATTCACCGTCGATGGAGGCCTCGGGCTGCTAACCTACTCGGCACAGCTGTACGGAGTACCTGCAACCAAAAGTACAGCGTAATGCAACGTGCCACACCCACGGGCAAGAGTCCTCTCCTCTCCTCTCCTCTTCTGTAGGGGCATCGGAGAGAATGTTAGCCCAGGACTTTTGGCTCTTGGCGGGTAGGACTTTGGTTTGGGCAAGGCGGGGTTGGTTCGGGCAGCCCTTGGGAGAGAACGGTGGGGCCTCTGGACTGACAGAAACCAAACCGTGTGCAACGGGCCATTGCGTTAGTAATCGTTTATCAACATGTGCGATGCCGCTCATGAGAACGACCTTGAAGCCCATCTGATACAGTAATGGGCGGTATTTATAGACTGGCCTGAAATAGGAGACTTGCAGGCAGTTAGTAGTCTTACTCTCTATATCCCTAGGTTGCTTGCTCAATCATAATATGCCCCAAAACAATCGACAATCACGTGTAAGCTTATCCATCTCCCAGGGACCGGCACAGAGCCGCATCAAGTCTCCACCGCCGCCGCTATTGTTTCTGTTTCTGTCTTTGTCCGCGTCAACTGCAAAGAAACAATTTTAGGAAACCACTTCGTCCCCACCCAATTCCACCCACCAACGAATGGTACTAATATCATCTAACTCTCGCAAATCCTCCAACAAATAGCTTGCGACCTTAGCTCAGCTGGGAGAGCGTCAGACTGAAGCCTTTACTTCAATCACCAGTTTATCTGAAGGTCGTGTGTTCGATCCACACAGGTCGCATTTTTTTGCCCATTTCAACAACTGCACCAAACCATGGAGTCTTTGTGTATTTTTTACCAACTAACGGAGTGAATTCTTCTCTTTTGCTTTTTTGTTCTCATGTTGCGACTTAACAGGAAAGTCGATTTGGATATTTGAAACCCCAGTAGAGAACTCTCTGTCGTCTCTTTGCTCAACTATTTTACCTACGTGGAACAGGCTATTGACTCCGTTAAATGAATTGGTTTGGGTGGACAACCTAGTTGTTGGGCGATGATCCAAATACTCTGGCTCCAAGGAAAATATATAAATGATTGAATCTGTCACATCCAACAAGACTGTCAGTTTATCCATTGGGCAATTTTGTGAAGTTGTTGCCGTTCGAAAATGTCGATTGAACTCATCCTCAGCTATTCCAGGGTAGCAAGAAGCAATAGGGAAATGATGAATCCCATCGCAGAGAGATAAGAAGCAAGTACTCTGGTGCCTTCCTCATGTTTCCTGTCTCCGCCAACTTGAGGCTCCTACCTCGAAGAGATGCTTCAAGAGGCGGTGCAGGTTGACGTTAGAATTGGAAAGAGCGATGCTTGAGCAGCCTCACTTGCACAACGCCCGGACATGCACGATGGCCACCTAGAGGTACTAAGGCAGATCCTCCTGGCTTTTCTGTATTCTCATCATTCCTATGAGAGATTGACTCGACTTCTAAATCCAAGCCATTAGAGTGTGAAGTGCAAGGCTGTTTGCATTCAAACGCAATGGACTTCTATCAGGTGAACCTGGCCATCTTGGTCGTCGCAAATATGTCTTCTTTCATCTATCATCATCGCTCTCAGAACCACAAGCAGCGGCGTCGTGGTATCCCGCAGGATGAGCAAAGCGAGACAGCTGCTACCAAGTTTCAACGGGAATTCCTCTTCGTCTATGCCTTGGTGGTCGCAGCCGATTGGCTTCAAGTGTGTGAAAACTCCTTTTCTCTTCGAGCTGTTCTGATCCTGACCCGAGCCACGGTACAGGGTCCCTACACATATGCGATTTATAAATACGAAAAGAAGCTCGAAGAACACACTGTCGCACTTTTGTACGCCTCGGGCTTTGTTTCTGGTGCTGCGAGCGCCCCCTTTGCAGGACAGCTCGCAGATCACTACGGAAGGCGGGCTGCCTGCGTTGCATATTGCATCTGCTACGGGATTACATGCCTTACGATGCTTAGTCGCAATCTCTACGCACTATACCTCGGCCGCTTCTTTGGAGGTATAGCAACTACATTGCTATTTAGTGTCTTCGAGGCCTGGATGATTACTGAGTATCATCTATTGCAGCTTGACGAGAGCAGAGTGTCCCTCAGCCAAGTTTTTGCAAACATGACCACCACCAGCACGATCACGGCGATATTCTCTGGCATAATAGGGAATGGCCTTGTCCAATGTTTCGATGCTCGGCTGGGACCTTTTCTTGCCAGCCTTGTTTGCTGTATCGGGGCCGGCGTGCTCATTTTGGTGATGTGGCGAGAAAACTATGGCAGTGTCGATAAGTCGAAGAAAACGCCGGGAGTTCAAAAGCTGAAGCGTCGCATGCTTGGAGCTCTAACTAACCCCAAAGTTATGGCTCTGAACTTTGCTTCTTGTTGTTTCGAAGGCTCAATGTACCTTTTCGTGTTTTTCTGGTCGGCTGCCTTGAAGAGAGTGAGAGTAAAGTCGGGGAACCAGGACGAGCTCCCCTTTGGTATCATCTTCTCAAGTTTCATGTGCTCCATGATGGCCGGATCTAGAATCACCGCGATTCAGGACCAATTGTATTCAAAAGACAGCACGTTGAACACGCTCATGTTCGTATTTGCCATAACATCTGGGGCATTCGCTATTTCAACCATGCTGGACCACGAATATATGCTCTTTTGGGCATTCTGTGTCGTTGAAGGCTGTGTGGGCGCATATTTTCCGAAAATGGCCCTCATGAAAAGCAACATAGTGGACGACTATGCGCGAGGTGGAGTCTATAGTGCTCTTAGGCTGCCTTTGAATGTCTTCGTGGTTGTCGTACACAGCCTTGACCGTGACGGTAAGAATAATTCAGCTTGGCCTGTTT